TCCATAATATAACGGTAAATTTTAAAAATCTGGGTTTTTCCCCATTGCAGGAGCCCCATTTAGTTCGGAATACTCATTGAAACAAGAAACTTGAGCTGAAAGTCCGACAATTTCAACGTTAAATGACAGTGATAATTATTTATTTAATTAAAAAATTATATGAATTCAATCGCTTGTTTTTAATTATAAAAAACAAACAATTCTTTTGGTAGGTAAAAAGGGAAAAAACGTCCAAAACCATCCATCCATATTTCTGTTACTTACTGCGAAATTTATAATTTTTAGACCTGGTTTTGTTAAAATGTAAGCGGTAGCCATTTTTTAAAGTTGTGTATTTCACGAGAGGAAAATAAAATTGGTGTTTGCATTTCAGGAGGGGAATACTCCATTTTGGGATTTGTTTTAGTTCATACACCTTTTTAAAAGAAAGAAAACAATATTTGAGGATTGTAACAGACCAAAAAAATAAGTGTTTTGACAGATGTGAAAGCATTCAAAAAACCAGGAAAAAAAGGCTAGAACAAAATCTGGAAAACCGTTGTGAACCTTTTGCTCAGGAACGCTGGTTTGTTTACTTGTTCTAAGAGCTTGATGGCTGGTCCCTTGCTTTTCCCAAATTTTCATAAAGCATGCGGCAAGTTTATTGCTCGTAGCCCGATACTTTAAATATGCCGCAAATGTCATCAAGAGCAGTTTTGCGCATGTGGAAGGAATGTATTTTTTCAAGACTGTAAAAAATGAAACAAAAAAATTTAGAGCGCGAATTTGGTGATTGGAATTTGAATGAAAAGATTAGTAAGTTTTCGTCTTCTTTTTATTACTTTTGATATTTATTAGGTTATTTTATCAATTTTCAGTTACAACAGCCTGACATTGTTCAGAATTGTTAGCAAAAAATAAAATTGAGGAACCACATGGGAAAAAATCTTTAAAAAGTAGTTTCGTCATTGAAAAGTGTGAAATTATCAATTCTTGATAATTTTCACCACTGTGAAAATTTTATCAATATATGTTTTTTCACGGATAAATCAGAGTAATCCAATGAAAAACATAAAATAAATATAGAACAACAGAACAGAACAAAATCTTTATTGTAGACTTGAGCTCTACGCTCCTCGTCTATATAAATACAATACATATAATACAAAAGTCAAATCAATTACAGCATGAGTACAGAGAGAGATAAATAAACATTCTGAATAACATTTTATGTGTAACAGAAACAGTACAAATCGCCCAGTAACTCTGGCAATTTCTGAATATAACGTATTTAATGTTGTTGTTTTTTTTTTAACAAATGTCACTAGTGGAGGTTATACAAACATTAAATTATAGCAGTTCGTTGGCTCTGATTTTTAAAGCACAATTAAGATAGCATGCTAATTTGTTTAAAACATCTATGTTTGTGACTGACATTAATTTAAGAAATTTAAGCATGCTAGGTCGTTCAAAATAATAATTGTCAATATAACGTTTCCTAATCCATTTATACTTGGGACACATAATAAACAAAATGGAACTCATCTTCAATATCAGAAGAATTACATAGTTCACAACGTCTTTTCAGTTCTTTCAATTCTATTTTGTCCCATACCTTCCTGTTTCGATGCGTAATTTGTGAGCGGATAATCTAAATTTTGTAATAAGTTGTCTAAATAATTTGTTTTTAACAGAACTCAAGTAACTCTCGTATTTGAAGTCATGTTTAATATGCTTATATACAGTTTAACACTCTGTTTTTCTCTAAGCTACTTTTCCATTCTTGAGTGAAATAGTCTAACAAACGCTTGTTTAAATTTGTATAATAAATGTGACTTCATTACAATTTAAAGGGTTTTCCCAAACATACCCATAACCAAACGTATATAACATTGATTTTACATTTGACAACCAATTAGTTTTATTCTTTTGTACGTTTTCCCAGCATAATTGAATACACCGTTTTTAAAACACAATTACTAGTTTTTAACACTTTAAACCAAAATTTAAGCACTTTAATGTAGCGATTGATATACAGCGGGAATCGTCCTAATTCACCATATACACCAGCATTGCTTGTGGATATCTTAACATTTAATACTCGTTTGCAGAACTTCAAGTGTATACGCTCCATCTCTTTACATTTGTAAAACCCCACACCTCAGCTGAATAATTTAAAATCGAGGTTACAACGAATCGAATAAACTACACATAGTTTTTGGGAAAAACTCGAACTCTTTCGTATTAACTAATAATGTATTCATTGCTTTAAGCGCTTTAACCCACTAACATTTGGGAATTAAGATTGAATCCACCATTTGAACCAAATACGACACCTAGATAGTTAAAGTTTATCGACTGTTTCTAATGTAATTCCATCGTATGTCCATTTCTCATCATCATGTAATCTTCCACTCTTTCGAAATACCATCACTTTGGATTTTTTCCGTGTTTACTTTCAAACCCCATCGATTACAATATGTGTTTAAGTCATTTAAACTCAGTTGAAGATCCTCGATGTTATCCGATAATAGCACCATATCGTCTGCATATATGAAAAGGATTAGTGTTATATCGCCATAATTAAGACCACTTCCTGGTCTAGATCCTAGGAAATAATTCTAGTCTTCAATAAACATAGACCAGAAAAGAGGTGAACAGATTTCTCCTTGTTTTAGACCAACGATTAAGTCCATGAAATCCGAATATTGGTTACAGTGCCTGACACGGCATCTCACGTATTCATACATTGATCTTATAATCCGTAGCATTTTACCATTTATTCCAAGTTTATACATTTTAAACCATAAAGCATTTCTGTAAACGCTGTCAAAACACTTTTTCATATCTATAAATGTAGCATAAAGTCTTTTCCCATTATTAAAACTACTTTCTATTATACTATTTAAACAGAAAATCGCATCTGTAGTGGAAAACCCCTTTTTAAATCCAAATTGTGAGTCTGAAATAACATCATGCGTAAAACACCACTGAGATAATCTAGCATTTAGAATAGAAGTAAACAATTTTGCTAGAACACTGATTAATGTAATTCCCTATAGTTATTCACGTCATTTTCGTCGCCTTTCTTGAAAAGCGGTATTATTATCCCCATCCATCCAGGCAGAAGGAAAATAGCCACTGGAGAATATCTTGTTAAATAAGTCAACCAAGTGTGACGTGAGATTATCACTCCTTCAATTAAATATTCATTTATAATTTCATCACTCGATGCCGCCTTTCCACGCTTAAGACCTTTGATCGCTCGATATACTTCAGAGCTTGTAATAACAACATCCAGCTCCTCAAATATAGGGTTGTCCGCAGTCAGGTTTTCACTACAAAATTGCTCGCTGTTTTCATCAAAAGTAATATTTATTTCTTGTGAAAGATTCTTGAAGTACTCATGAAATTGTTCAACAGATATACTACCCCCTTTCATATCTTTTTTCTATGAAAAGTATTTCCAAAAGTCCTTTGGTTTTTTCCTTTTTAAATCCTCGATTTCTTTCATTTTGACATGTTTATATTTATTACGTTTTGATTTCACAATCTTTTTATACAAACGTTTTTTACACATAAGATTAATCCTGTTTTCATCAGTTTTAAATTCATTAAAACAACGTAATGCTTCAATATAATCCCGTTTTGATTCTCTGCACGTTACATCAAACCATTCCGCGGGTTTTATAACGGCTTTACTTGCAAATTGGTTCGGTTTTGAAGGACAGTTTTTTATTTCCTTTGAGAATATTGGCTTCGCCACACAGTTTATTAGATTAACAAATTCCCCCACAGCATTATCTATTGTAGACTGGTTTACAGTTTCTAATGTGCCCAAAACATGATTAAACTGGGGCAATATAATATATAATAGATATTTTCTTCTATTATTCTGTGGAAGACGAAAACACGAAAATTAGAAAATAAAAACTTCGCCCCGCGTGGGCGCGCAGCGAAATTTAAGGCATTATACGGAAGGGTAGCGGGGCAAAAACACGCTAATTAGCGGGGGCGCGGGGCGAGATTTAAGAAATAAAACGGCGGGGGCGAAAACACGCTAATAAGCGGGGGCGCGGACCGAAAAGCCGAGTTTTTAAAGAATAATTTGGCGGGGGCGCGAACAACAGCACGCTAATTAGCGCCCTATAACAATAAATATTTCGCTTCGCGGTCCCGCTAATTAGCGTGTTTTTGCTCCGCGCCCCGCCATTTTAACTTGTTAATTCTCGACTTTTCGCTTGTACTTCAGGTACTGATAGATATCTATAAGTGTGAAAACTTGCTTATGTATTATATATGCAATGGATGATACGAACTTGTAATTTTTTTTTGTTGGTCTCCATTTTAGGCCAGTTGTTTAAATCTATATGTAAACTTGTTATTTAACAGTGGGAATCTTTTATTAAAGTTTGGATTTGGCAATCACGGATAAAGTGAAAAATGCTAGGCATACACGTTCGCATTTTCAAAAATAATTTTAAAAAGCACACTTTATATGTCTGGATTTTTGGCAACGAACCCCCATATTAATCAATGCTACGATTATATAAATTTACATTAGAATTTACAAGTTTTAAGAAATTTGTACGACATTTATATACGTCATAATTATATAGAATTGTTCTTCTATGTAGATATGAATAAACAATATATTTCTCTGGGTTTTTCGCGGATAATTAATTGTTTAAAAGATATACTAGTTATTCTGTCAGATGTAAGTAAAGAAATGTATGAAATTCATCTTTAACAGTTATTTCCCCTAGAATATTGTTGTGTATTTGATTATAATAGTCACTAGTCACACTCAATCACTACTTGAAAGTAGTTTTAGATTAAAACAAGATCTTTGAAAATGTATAACGAATGTGGTTTTTTGTTCACCCGATCGTTGTTAAATGAACCAATATAACTTGTAAACTAATCCTATTGTTTAAAAGTAATTTGTAAAAGTATCGCTTGTCAATCGGATTGTTATGGGTCATTTCCTAAAACAAAACTTTTTTTTTGTATTTTTAAATGGCCTTTAATATTTACAATGTGTATTCATATCAAACAGAGAATATGAAAAGAAAAATATTGTGTCAAATTTTATCTAATGTGTGTCATTTATAAATAGTTGACTCTTAAAATTATGTATTTTGATTTATGATAAAATGGAATTAAATTGATTACAGTATTAGTCCGTGAATAATTATTTTTGTACCCGCACGACTATGCATGTAGACAAGAACATGATTTGTTGCATGCATGGATAGCGGTGACCAATGGTGATCAAATGATATTTTTCTCACCAGCCTGGAACCGGGTACTCGGAAGTTGAATTATATTTCGCTAAGAAGTTATTACACTAGTTTTTTCGAAGTGACGTCAAATTAAAGTGAAATGAAGTGAAGTTAAATTAAAGTAAAATTTACACTCAAATGCCTTTCTAAGGAAATAAAAAACACTTTCAACGAAGAGTATCATATCTGAAATTTACCTTGTGATGGGCTGTACTCATTCGACACCGTCGCGCACGACACGGCGGAAGAAGAAGAAACGGTCGAGAAAAAAGAATGTTTCAATCATAGAGTCAAAAGAGATGGCAATTAAAAGACAATCAGCCCCAACACAAGCTGTAGTGTTTCATAGTGACCCAGATGAGTTTGCAGCACCCCCTCAAAATTATAGATCTGAACATATAGGTGTACAGCAGATGGTAAATGATGATTTAGTTTTTATAATTAAAAAAAAAAACAGCGTTCAATTATGATAAAAAAATAATCGGGATTATGTCGCGTTTTACGGTCAGGTCATCAAAAGGGAGAGTTAGCGAGCTGCCTGTATCTCAATTCAAGGATCCTAAGTTCGAGCCTTTGTGGGGTATCAGCCATATCTCTTCTGATCATATGACGCCAGTACTGCATGTTAGCGGACACTGATTAACTTTTTTCACATTCCAATTTAAAGGAGATGTATCAGTCTCAAAACAAAAATTGAGTCATAACTCTACTTCATTTCTTGAATGAATTGTACAGGTTACATTATATTTTTTTAACTGTTCATTGTCAGTTTTCGGGATAATTATTATGTTAGTTATAAAGAATTTTTCAGGTTATATGGTATTATGTATAAACGGTTATATTACTAAAAATTGTTTATATTCGGTCATATAACCTGTCAGTAATATTTAAGACAACAAGCATCATTTTTAATGAAAAAAGTGAGATTTTTTCATAAATTGACAGCAGCCGTGTAAATTATTAATTATAAAGATTGTTGACAGGTTATATAGCTATATAACTGTCAAGATAATCCAATGAAAAGCGACTTAACAAACGTATAGCTCAATCTGTTAATTAAAGCGCGAGACTTGTAATCTCGACATTGTTGGTTCGATGTACGGGCTGACCAATTAAAATTACTAATCAGTCTTTCGGGTGAGACTTTAAACAAGGTCCCGTGTACGAGTGCTTTAACAGTAAGTCTTGGTATGCTAAAGAACCACGATAAGCCTCTGAAATTAGGGGATCTGTTTATGTATCTTGCACTTTCCTCCAAAATCTAAAAACAATGACTTAGATTTTTCTGGAGGACTCGCCTTTATTGGCAACCGTAGGCGAGAATAAATAAATTAAAATACACAAAACCTTGCCAGAATACATGCACGTATACACGTGCAGGCTGACATGGCTCTATACTTGTGGCTAAGGCTAATAAATTGTACTTTCGGTTCGAGTAGGGCAACGATAAGCATATTTCAAGGGTTGACCGTAAAAATCTAGTAACTTAATAACTTACAACTTTTTTTAGCGGTAACTTACAACAGTTTTGCGGTCGACCTTCGATTTATGGATGCGAAACCAGATATAAAGAAATTATTGCCTGGGCTAAGATAAGCAACTGTTCATCCTTTATGTTCTTGTGTAGTACTAGTACTGTATTAATGTTAGCAGTGTCTTTCTATTAGAAAGACCCTGAAATACCCTGGTGTGACATAAGGTGGTTCATTCATGTCTTTTTGCTTGAGCATGTTTTCTGGGTAAACATTCCTTAAAACATAAAACGCTAAATAAGCAGTATTTACCGAACAATTTATTTGAAGCATGCGCGACATAATCAAATGGAGCCTCAAATTTTGAGCTTTAATCAGGGTCTTTCAAATAGAATTCGAAAGACCCTGCTTTAATTTACTATTGTCAAGATCTGCAGTATTTGTAGAATGAAAACTATGTTTAACAAAATCTATGAGGCATTATTATTAGCACTGTTTCTAAAATGGAGATCATGAAAATAAAACTATTTCCAGTCAGATGTCCCGGTAACGACTGTGTCACGAGTGGTGTTCAAACAAGCTACCTACACGGGAATATACAATATTAAAGTCCATTACGCGGACCATCAGGAGTGCCGTATCCAAGGTGCACAGTTTCTACCAAACGGTTCCCTGATAGTGTGCGATCAACACAACCAGACACTAAAGCTATGGGGCATGACCTTTCAGTATTTGGCTCATGTCGTACTTCCAGGTAACTTTGGTTTTGTTTTGACATTTTCTGTCATTTTTTTTTATATTTCTTTTCCTATTAACTTCCCAAAACCGAAGTAAGATTCGTATTAATGCAGACAATATTAAAAAGGTTCGACTTTTCAGTTAGAATCGACTCGAGATCTAATTAAGATACCGCACAAGACTGTCTGAAATATTACAACTCATCATAAATAAAATATTTTGACATGTATTAAATATTAGTCAAGTAGCCTGATTTTTTTATCAAAGATTTATTTCATTGTGCTTTCAGAAAATTTCATTGTATTTTAGAATATTGAAAAAGATAACTATAAACGGATCTTTTTTTTATCTACTTTCGATATATATTCTGTGTTCTTATTAAACTATGTTTAGGTACTTTATTGTTAGGGCACATTAACCGTAGCCACGTATACTTCTGAACAAAACTTTCATCAAACGTTCATCACTTTTAGAGAACATCTGCATAATAAGTACTGACTGAATAGCGAACAGATATGCCAGCACTGGTCGCTTAGGTAGCATCAGTTGACGCCCTTAAACTTGGTTGACCTTAATTGGTTGATATTCTTTGCAGGTCGACCTCATACCCTATGCGTTCATTCCTCAAATAAGGATGGGTCAGACGTTTACGTCACAATCCCTAGTGATAGAACCATTATGGAGTTTTACGTTGACGGCAGGATAATTATTCCAGGGCAGAAAATACGAACAGACGGCTTCTGCTATGGGATAGCTCCGTATAAACATGGACTCGTCGTGGGGGTTGGTTCAAAAGTAGAATTTATTGACACCGAAGGAAACATATTGAAAGTTTTAAAATATTCTGTGAACGGTGCTTCGAAGTTTGGTTCCCCTTTTTATTTGTCAGTGACCGGAAATAACAACATCATTGTGTCTGATTCAATGAACCGCTGTGTAATTTGCGTAACACCCGATGGAGAAGAAATGTTCAGGTTCGTCTGCATACGTTTTTCTCTTGTTTTTTTTTTTCTTTCTTTCTGTTTCTTTTTTTTTTTCTTTCGAAAATTTTCGTAAACTTCTTAAACATTATTTTAATAGGACAGATAGCAAACATTCCCATTTGAATTTATTCCAAATGTTAGTTAATCGGTTACCTAAATATTTTTAACTTGTAAAAATATTTCTTTTTTCAAGATATGATGAAATTGGTATTCCCCACGCCACTATGACAGACAAGGAGGAAAATATTTACATTTGTGGTGAGTCTTTAATGACAATTAACATCATTCAAAGTGAAAGTTGCATAAATACCACTATATTATATAGTAACTATTGTTTTTGGCGTAATTAAGTCTGATATACGAGTATATGCGTGTCTTTTTGTAAGGTTTTTTATTCACACCCTTCTCTTATTAGACATTTGCGGCTTATAATGAGGAACGGGGATTGAGGATCGAGGACAAGTTATATAAAGGGATAATCTCAGAATAATCTAACATTTTATAATAAACACGGTTTATAAGTTACGGATAACACCAGCATTGTCAACGATACCCATCTCTGTTTCAAATCGGAAATAAGATCGTGCACTGGTAAGAGAACCTGTTAAGGTCCTACAGTACAAGCATTAAAAACAGCAAAAGAAATCATGAAAATGCAAACTCGGTTTGATTGGGTTGTACATGATGAATAATAAAAAATGCAACAACCCTTACGCCCCCCTAGCATCGACTTAAGCGGGACTCAACTCTCAACACTTAAACGTTCTGGACTCAATTATCCTAAAGGACCAGAAGATACTAGTATAGCAACACTACATAAACACTATATAAATATCGCGTTAAACTCCGATTCAGTAACTCACTCCGTTTCAATTTCACACTTCAATATTTTCAAATTATTGCCAGCGCTTTAGGCCGTATACAACGTCTTGAAAGACGTCTTTTGAGTAAAAGATTTAGTGCAAAAAACAACTGTTAAGTGCAGTCCCTACGGGCATCTAAACCAAGGGCAAGCTTAAGCGGCTCACATGCAGCAGTCATTGCTAGGTCAAGCTCAGATAAATCTTAACAGATGTATAAATGAGGGCCACCATGGACAGCTGACCAGCAGCTTCGCTCCCGCCTAGTCCCGAGACAACTCGAACCCGGTCCAGTCCAACGAGGCCGTAGTCAAGACGTCAAAATGTCCGTGCTTAAGCAGCCAAACGTTTTGACATCATCATATTGCAAAGGACGAAACTATTGATGCACGTCAGCGCACTAGACAAAACAACCGTCAACGCAAACGACCATTGGCTGAGCTAATGAGAAAAGTTCGGATTTTAATTAGGGAACTTGGCTGGCATCAGTTCGTTTTGCAATTACTTAAATGAAAATTAAGATGTAAGGAAAGAAACACAGTAAGATACCGGTATCCTGGCCTTATTTCAAGTGTTCATAACATGTGTTGAGATGACCCCTCAATATTAACATAATCGTTCCCGACATTATGTCGCAAATGTCTAATATTATGGTGTCTTTAAGTATGTTTTCTCTCATTTGTTTTCAATATTCTTTTGCTATGGTTCTCAATATGCATTGCTCTGGTTCGATTCCTCAATATTTTTTGAGTAATTATTTAGTTGTTGTTTTAAACATTGTTGTTATAGTTTCTTTCTCTTAATATCCTGTTGCTATGTTGTACCACTAAATCACACGGTATCTGACTAAATAATGAAGGTCATTAACTTTGAACCACTTAACCTACATGTAAAAGAAGCCAAAATCTTAAATTAAACAAAAAGCCAATATAGTATTTTATTTCTTCTTTTAGGAAATGAGAAAGGTGCAATAGATGTTCTGCATCAACTAACTTTGCGAGGAGAGAAGATCAAAAGTTTATTGTCATGGAGGCACGTGGGGTTTACACCTGACGCCATTTGCTACAGAGAAAAAGACAAACTTCTGGCAGTGTGCGGACAAAGTGACCGAATAAAAACATTCAGGCAATACATTTAATTTTTTAACCTCTGCAATGATTTAAGAGACAATATATATCTATATAACTGATGTTTCTTCATTAAAATGTCGGCCTCTCATCCCACGGATCATGGTTCGAGCCTAATCGGGTCACGACCATGTTTCTTCATTAAAGTGTCAGCCTCTTATCCCACGGATCATGGTTCGAGCCTAATCGGGTCACGACCATGTTTCTTCATTAAAGTGTCGGCCTCTTATCCCACGGATCATGGTTCGAGCCTAATCGGGTCACGACCATGTTTCTTCATTAAAGTGTCGGCCTCTTATCCCACGGATCATGGTTCGAGCCTAATCGGGTCACGACCATGTTTCTTCATTAAAGTGTCGGCCTCTTATCCCACGGATCATGGTTCGAGCTAATCGGGTCACAACCATGTTTCTTCATTAAAGTGTCGGCCTCTTATCCCACGGATCATGGTTCGAGCCTAATCGGGTCACGACCATGTTTCTTCATTAAAGTGTCAGCCTCTTATCCCACGGATCATATGGGTTCGAGCCTAATCGGGTCACGACCATGTTTCTTTCATTAAAGTGTCAGCCTCTTATCCCACGGATCATATGGGTTCGAGCCTAATCGGGTCACGACCATGTTTCTTCATTAAAGTGTCAGCCTCTTATCCCACGGATCATATGGGTTCGAGCCTAATCGGGTCACGACCATGTTTCTTCATTAAAGTGTCGGCCTCTCATCCCACGGATCATGGTTCGAGCCTAATCGGGTCACGACCATGTTTCTTCATTAAAGTGTCAGCCTCTTATCCCACGGATCATATGGGTTCGAGCCTAATCGGGTCACGACCATGTTTCTTCATTAAAGTGTCGGCCTCTTATCCCACGGATCATGGTTCGAGCCTAATCGGGTCACGACCATGTTTCTTCATTAAAGTGTCGGCCTCTTATCCCACGGATCATGGTTCGAGCCTAATCGGGTCACAACCATGTTTCTTCATTAAAGTGTCGGCCTCTTATCCCACGGATCATGGTTCGAGCCTAATCGGGTCACGACCATGTTTCTTCATTAAAGTGTCAGCCTCTTATCCCACGGATCATATGGGTTCGAGCCTAATCGGGTCACGACCATGTTTCTTCATTAAAGTGTCAGCCTCTTATCCCACGGATCATATGGGTTCGAGCCTAATCGGGTCACGACCATGTTTCTTCATTAAAGTGTCAGCCTCTTATCCCACGGATCATGGGTTCGAGCCTAATCGGGTCACGACCATGTTTCTTCATTAAAGTGTCAGCCTCTTATCCCACGGATCATGGGTTCGAGCCTAATCGGGTCACGACCATGTTTCTTCATTAAAGTGTCAGCCTCTTATCCCACGGATCATATGGGTTCGAGCCTAACCATGTTTCTTCATTAAAGTGTCGGCCTCTCATCCCACGGATCATGGGTTCGAGCCTTAATCAGGTCACGACCATGTTTCTTCATTAGACACCAGTACTGGTTGGTTCCTGAAAGCGGACTCGAGAGTGGTTGATATAAGTTGCAAGATCGAGCTTATTAAATAATAAATTAATATGTTTAAACCATATATTTGTCCAGTTCTGACTTTAAAGATCGGTAAACATGTCCGAGACGGTCTTCTCATAAAAAGGAATGTATCATAAGGTTACTGGAAAGACTCAATAAAGAAACCTCAGTTCAGCAATGAGTTTGATCAGGCAAACCAGTATGTCCAGACCATATTACTCGTATGTCATATTTTGGTATTGCAGTGACGTTACTCGTTGATTCACGTATTCTTTTAAGGATTATGCTTTATCGATATGATAACATGCAGTAGTACATGTATTCAATTTTTGCAAAATTTGGTCGAACCTGAAGATGTTTGCCTGACTTAAAGTCGCGTGACATTGGATGTTGTATAACGAAATACATGTAGTATGAAGAAAAAAGTACATTTTGTAGGTTTTTATTATTTTTAGTGGTCATAGATAAATGTCCTTTTAAATATAAGACATATTATGAATAGAACCCATATGCTAAAAAAAACAACTGTACTGACAATCTCTTTTTGTTTAAACATCTACGTGCATTTTCAAAATTACATAATAATCTTCATCTTTTTTATTACATAATTATTTAGGTTGGAAACGAAAACATCAGGGAAAATTTACGCAAATGACGTCATCGTTGACGCAGAAAGAATTCAAACAGAAAGAAGTACAAAAGAGGTCCAGGAAATCATGAAAAGAATTCTTATTACTTAGGAAACTACCTGTGTCAACTGCTTTACGCGTTTCTTTCTAAAAGAATATTACTTTATTTATATTTAAATGAAAATAGCTATCCTCGTGCAATTAGTATTTCTATACCATTCGTTACTGTCATATAAACACGTGGCAATATACCACTGTACGGATATCTTGCTCGTGCCTATATTTTGACAAAGGCAATCGTGCAGATGTCACGAGATTTTCTTACAGATTTATGAACTTGGAGGGCAATTTTATCTTCATGAGAAGTTTAACAAATTGGAAGGAAATATAAATCCATTAATTCTTAATTAGCCGGAAACAAGCCGTGTTTCATGAACTGTATTTTGGCTGTCTTGGAATATCAGACCTATACCGCTGTCATCGAACATGGTTTACTGAAGTTAATTCAGGTTTACTAAAACAGCCTCTGAAAACGCCTTTCGGAGAAATGATATTAATTAAGACAATATAAGTAACGGCAGCAAAATACGATGCTATAATTATAATGTGAAATTTGTAAAATTGGTGTCAATTGCTTAAATTAAAGCGGTAGGCAATAATCATATACATCGGTTAATTCAATGGTTAAAACATATGACATATTTACATTTGTTATTAAATTCTCATTATTATTTATAAATATTACGTTTTCACCAAATATGTGTATTGAATCAAGACCGACCTACAAGGCATAATGGACTTTTTTTAAATAGCACACATGCAGAAAAACGTTCGTTATGGAAAACTATATAAATGCAACAGAAACATACATGATTGAATAGCTTTTTTATTGCACATATCTTCAATAACAGACATGTATATACATTGATTAACAACAACAATATGTGCATGTATAGAGTACATCATGATTTTTTATACATGTATATATTTGAGTATATTCCTTTCTCCACAGGCAGGGTCGTATGGCAAAAATTATAGAAACTTCTGAGCGGTGGCTAATTCTAAAACATTTGCTACATTCCATTTCCAATTTGAAACTATTTGTTATCTATAAGTATACATTGCAACGTTGTAACAAAATCTAATTTCAAAAACATCAAATCTCTTTAAACTGTACATGGGAAATAAACATACATTTCCCTCAAAAACATTAAATCTCTGCAGTATATTACTGTACATGGAACAATGCACACACTTGTAAACAATTTAAAGTCGTTTCTAGAATAAGTCTCCCATTTCATTACAGTTTATAATCAAACATCCTGAGAAATCTTATATACTATGAACCTTTGATGACATGATTTCAATGATAAATGTAGATTTTTTTAACAAGTTATTCCTTAGATTACTTAAAAATGAAAAATAGCCTCGCCATGACAAAACCAAAAGCAACATAGTGCGTTTGCAACCAGCATGGATCCAGACCAGACTGCGCAGTTTAGACTAGCCTGCCCATCCGCACAGTCTGATCAGGATCCATGCTGTTTGCTTACAAACCCTATTACAAGGAGCGCAGGCTGGTCCGGATCCATGCTGGTCACAAACACACTATGTTGGTTTTGTCATTGCTCATTTTTACTGTGAAATGATCAATCTGCAATGTAACTGGTGCAAATGTACATTTGAATGCAATACCATATAACATCATCTGGGTGATAAAAATTAGGTAATATGCATATATAATAGGGTAAATGAATTCTTAGTGTTCCCATGTACAGAAATCATTATTTTCAAATATAAAAAGTGAGAATTATCAAAACAACAGTTTTTATCTTATCTTTTAATTGCTTTGTACCTTTGTTATATACTGTAGCTATATTATTATGAATCATATATGTTGCTATGTTATGCTTTTTATGCTATATGTTATGTTGCTATGCTATATAGTCATGCTATGTTGAATTATGTACTTGTATATGTTGTTATGTTATCCTACATGTAGGAAGTGCTATGTTATGTGGCTATGTTATGTAGTTCTGTTTTATGTTGAATGTAGTGTTGTAATTTTAAGTTATGAAGAGTTGTAATGTTGAATTATGTAATGTTGTCATGCTTAGTTATGTAGTGTTGTTATCTTATACTTTTGGTGTTATGTAATGGTGTTATGCTAGAATATGTTCTTGGAATGTGTTTAACTAAGATAACATTACATTTTACATAGCTATACAATTACAATATAAGATTTGAGAAATATTTATACTGAGTACATATACAATTTCTGGTTAAATATTGCAGAAAAACACACACAGATATTTCTGGTTAAATATTGCAGAATAAAAACAATAACAAACAGTAACGTCTAGATACATTATCTTAAATAAAAGTTCTAAATAAAGCAACAAGATTCGGTAAAAATGTAGTGATAAAAAAGCTAAGAGACTAATGTGCTTAAATACTGTTTTAATAGCCTTTCACCCTCTGATTTCTGTAGAACTTGTCCCACAAATGATTTCAATGTTAAATACTTAATGTTCTGGCAGACCTGTCTCTGTAACTGTGACATTTATCTCGCATACCTGACTCTGTAACTGTGACATTTACCTAACAGACCTAACTCTATAACTGCGACATTTACATGGAAGACCTGTCTCTGTAAATGTGACATTTACCTGACAGACTTGACTCTATAACTGTGACATTTACCTGACAGACTTGACTCTATAACTGTGACATTTACCTGGCAGACCTGGCTCTGTAACTGTGACATTTACCTGGCAGACCTGGCTCTGTAACTGTGACATTTACCTGGCAGACCTGGCTCTGTAACTGTGACATTTACATGACAGACCTGACTCTGTAAATGTGACATTTACCTGACAGACTTGACTCTATAACTGTGACATTTACCTGGCAGACCTGACACTGTAACTGTGTCATTTATATGACAGACCTGAGTCTGTAATTGTGACTCTGTAAATGTGACATTTATCTCGCAAATCTGACTGACTGTTTGACATTTACATGGCAGACCTGACTCTGTTAATGTGACATTTACCTGGCAGACCTGACTCTGTAAATGTGACATTTCCCTGGCAGACCTGACTCTATAAATGTGACATTTACCTGGCAGACCTGACTCTGTAACTGTAACATTTACCTGGCAGACCTGACTCTGTAAATGTGACATTTCCCTGGCAGACCTGACTCTATAAATGTGACATTTACCTGGCAGACCTGACTCTGTAAATGTGGCATTTACCTGGCAGAACTGGCTCTGTAACTGTGACATTTACGTAGCAGACCTGACTCTGTAAATGTGGCATTTACGTGGCAGACCTGGCACTCTAACTGTGACATTTACGTAGCAGACCTGGCACTCTAACTGTGACATTTACTTGACAGACCTGACTCTGTAACAGTGACATTTAACTGACAGACCTTTGGCATTTACATGTCATTTTTAACTTTAAGGCCCTTCAATATGTTAAAAAAAGATACTAAAGTGTGTAACTTTATATATATGTAAATATGTTATATTAGAATATAATATTACAATTATAAATCAACAACAGTACAAAAGTCACTTTTTAGTTTAAATTTGTTTCAAGATTCTTTAAAGAAAAAATAGAAGCTCTGAATGCATTAAAAGGAATAGAAATAAAAAAGTGAATAAAAACAATAACAAAATAACGATACAATCAAACATACACAAAACAACAATTATATTCCACTATAACTTGAGGTATAGACTAAAAGGCAAGCAAGTGATGTCAGTGTAAAACTTTTTGAAAAGGTGAAATCCCTCCAAGACTATAAGACCACATACAGAAATGTGAAAATCACAGCCTTGTTGTAACTGACTCTGTTTAAGAGGGACAGTGGAATGTGTTACATCAGTCTAGGCTTTTAGCACCACAAAAACCTTTAATATGTGATTCTTAAAGATATACTATGCTCAAATTTGATAATAAGACAGTATTTGTAATTGCAACACAGTCTCTTTGTAAATATAAAATAAACATGTTTGGAAGATATGTTTTGTCTAAAACTCTAAACACTATAGGTGGTCACAAAATGAATATATAGTGTCATTAAAAAAACTGGCAGTTGTTTTTGGGTTTTTTTGTTGTCGAGAAAACACCAATTTTATTGACCTGTAATAGGAAATACACCTTCCCATACATAGTTTATTCATTCTTTTTATTGAAGTAAGACATATTCAGTAAGAATTTCATAAATTTCAAACAGTTTCTGTGATTAAAATATTTCACTCCAGCATGAGCATAATATATCTTTAGATTGAAGAAAAGGAAAAAATGTATAACAAAGAGAATGTGAAGGGCAAAAAATGATGGTTCAATGAAATGACAATAACAAATCAATAACAGAACAGGTTACACAATTGGTTACCAAAAAAAAAACAGGTATGAAAAAAAAATATAAAAAAGATTTAAGACATAAGCCTTCTTAGTGATGATCAAACTTAAGGAAATCTATTTTACACTTTGACAATATCATCAATATAAATTAATGTTAAAAGTGAATGATTCTCATAAAAGATAACAATAAAAACATTTTGTGACTAATATACTGGTGAACAAAAGGGTGAATATTAATAATCAAATGTATATAGAAAACATTTACGCTATTTCTTGGGATTTATTTTTTTCTGTGTACCATCTTTGTCCCATCTAATATCGGGGTACAAACAAACTTTTACCATTATAGTTTGATGGTGCAATACTGTTCACAAAAGAGTAATCATCATCACCTTGTTGATCTTATAACGGGTATATTTACTAATTTGTAACTGTAAAATAGCCTTTAAATAGGGCTGTCATTGAATATCGCAACATTGATATACGACTGATATTCATCATCCTATACAATATCAATACACACTTTTAAATATTGATACAAGCTAAAATTTATTTATTTCTGTTAGTGAATATACCTCTCTATTATGGCAAATAAGAGAACTCACTTTTTGTCAGTTTTCTTGGCTACCCTGAAGTTTAAACTCAAGTGTTTTCAACTGTCAGTGACAAAAATAACAGAAAAAACAAACTATCTGTTAGTTTGTAGTATTTGTAATGTCTAATACAAGCATGCATAGCACCATGATCCCAATTTATAACACATATTAAAATTTTTTTCATTGTATCTACTGTCAAAATCAGTATATCAATATATCGTTGACATTTGTCCCTTGATATATCGATACAAACTTTTCCATCAATGACAGCCCTACAGTGAAAGTTTCATTGTACCCCCCACAATTAGATGGGTACAACTCACATCAGTATCTCTATATCTGATTCTCAATTAACCCTGAACATTCAGAAAAGGAGGCATGCATTTCAACAATGCTCTCTCTTTTTTTCAGTCTAAATCTTGACATATTATCTTTTGCATTCATCATAAATTGTCAATCACTTAATAGTTATATATCGCACCCTTAAGTGATATGACACTGGTCAGTCAGTTTGGCAGGACGTTACTGTACTTTTTGAAACATTTCATAAGACACTCATAAATAATGGAACTGCCATTTAGCTATAGATAGTAATGCTATTTCGATTTTGCTGATTTTTGTCTGGCATCAAGCTGTTTTTTTGTGTGTTTCTTCTTGGGCTGTACTCCGACAGAGGATTTTTTACCTGCAGATGTGCTGTGGGTGGTTTTAGCCCTGGTTCCACTAGCTCTAGGTGTAGTAGTCCTTTCTTTAGTTGGCCTCTCTATTCCAATATCTTGTTCCCACATTGGTACCTGGCTTTTGACCATAGACCAGTAGTTCTTCTACATTCAAAAATAATATATCATATTATGTATTTAATGTTACTGAATCAAAAATTGTACAAAAGTTTTGTGCTTTTTTAAGTATATTCTTTGTGAATATAACTACCTTTTCCTATTGAATTTTCAGCAAAACAACTATTTTCATGTTAATTATTATGGTGATTTTTAAGATGGACTTAAGGCGAAAATCTATGTCAGATGCCTAAATACAATCAAATTCAAACTAAACTTCCCACCCTATTGCACATATTGTGCACTTATAGTGCACTAGACAGAATGACTAGACAGGACGACACTTTGCTGGTTTAATGAATTATTGCATTGCATTGACGCCGGTTAAGTCATGTATTAATTGACTGTTGGCATCACAAAGTAGAGCCACATACCATAAACAAGGAAATCTGTCTTTCTCCTTACTAATACATGTATACAACAAATAAATATGCTTTAAGCTTTTCAGCTTTATAAAATAATATTTTAGGCGCCTGGATCAGATACAGATTGATTTAAAAAAAAGGTATAAATCAACATTCAAAAGAAGCTTTTGAGAAACATGTTAATAATCTAATAAATACAAGATGCAAAGGTTGATCTGCGGTTAACATATTTATATTTGTTTACAATGGATTCAACTCGCTAGTGTTGGACCAGCACCTTGAGACGCTTGCAGAAATCATGATCACAAAGTACAAAAATATCACGCTTTTTTTTTTTTGGTGATTTACATTTTTCAATCATCGTACATAAATCAAGTTAACTGATGAAGTAGTCATCTCAGGGTGCATTTCGTTGGGTGAAGATTTTAACATTTAATCATTTTAGTGCCTTGTCCAGTATATACCTGAATACAGTATTAAGAGTGGTGCTCCAACACTTTTTTAGCCTCACTTGTTTACAGTAAGTCTTATATAAAAGAATAACAAATGACTATGCAGTCCACAGGGAACTTCATACCTGAAGAGTCATAAATCTTGGAGTTGGTGCTGCATTCAGAGACTCATATACATCTTCTTTTGCAACTTTTATATCCTGTAATAAAAGATTGTATCGAATTATTCAAGGAAATATACATAAACACATAATATTTTTACATATATCAACATGCATATAAAACACACAAAAATGCAACAAAAATAATCATAAAACTATAAAGTAGTATGTTTTATGTTGTGCTAGGATATTGCCCATTTAGCTAAAAGCTTATTTCCAATGGGGTCTAGCTAGTTACTGTTGCATTAATAAAATGTACACTAAATTAAATGATTAATGAATTACTATAAATGAAATAATTTGCCAACATTGTACATGTAGTTTGTACTATATACCAGGCACATTTATCAATATTATGAGACAAATAGATAAACATAATATCTACAACATTTAAAAGTGACATGCTGGTTAGTGGTAATGCTGCTGCCAAAACTTTTGACAGTAAGTAGGCAGGTGAAAAAGTTATGGTAGAAGGTAAACTGGTAGACAGCTTGAAAGTGTTTTATAACTTTCACAAACAACACAAGACACAAAAAACAGTTTTTCTCTAAAATTGACAGACAAAAATTTCTAAGCCAATTTAATTTCTACTGATTTGGTCAACTAACATTAAACTATGCATGTCTGCAAAGGAAGACAAATACCTTGAGTAATTTCTGATTTCTGATAAATGCCTGTTCTGTGGTAAGTGTACCTGTTAATGTCATATTATTCTGGCTCTGACTATATGCTAGGGAACAGTTCATCAATGCCTCTCTTCTTGATAATCTGAAGAAATAAAATGTATTGATATCAGATAATAGGTGTAGGCCATTTCAAACAGCCATGATGTTGGGGTCATAATAAAAGGTTCATTCTTTATGTGTGCTTACAAATTAAACAGACTGGTGAAAATGTCCAATCGGGCTTAAGACATATAAATCATATTTGTAGAAAAATAATTAATATGTTTCTTTCTAACTTATTTGGTTTATTAAGCATGAATATAAATCGAAATAAAAAATATTTTGGTTCTTAAATAATTTTTGTTTTCTTAAAGTTATTTCCCATTTTCTGGAAACAAAATATTTGAAGTTCATAAAAATTGTGTTGAAATTTAAATTTCTATTAAGAAATGTGTCCAACAACTTCATTTTGCTCAAGATTATTGCGCCAGTACCTGTATTCTATATATGTTTGGATTAAATATTCTGTTTCTGGCATAGATCTGTTTTTTGACAATTCTTAGACACTGAACATTATACTTTTTCTCTGAAAACTGACTGAAATGTATGCCAACAGGTGTTGGCGCAATGAATTAGAGCATAAAGAAGTTATTTACACTATTTTGTTTTACACTTAGCATATATGTTACTAACATATTTTTTAAGGACTTCAAAAATTATGTGTTATAAAAATATGAAAAAGGGGAAATAATTCTCGGTAAAGTGACAGTGGCCATATATTTTTCTATCTGTTTACGTAAAAAATTATCCTCAATAAAACAAACAAAGTTAAAAAGAAATATCTTTATCACTTTTCTAGAAGGAAGTGGCTAGCCGTACGGGCCCGTACGGCTAGCCAAAAGTTCTAGCCGTACGTGAGTCACGTACGACTAGCCAGGACTCGCTGCATTGTCTAGCCGTACGGCACTTTTCAAAATTATATAGAAGTCGATCATGCATGTGTTATTTTGTGCCTCATGATTATGATTTGTTGTTTTATTTGACTGAAAGATGATTTTTGGTTAATTAAGCACATGGATCGAATAAATAATGATCGGAGTGGAATAAATAAATAAATAAATAAAAAGAACATTGAAAAAAAAAACGATGAAAAGCAAAAATAATTGTATAATTTTCAAATACAGTAGATAAATATCGAACATAAAAGCACAATCAATTAATAAGCCTTAAATAAAGCCTACCCAGGGACTGACAATAGAATTTTAAAATGCGTTTCACGGAACATGCAAACTTTCCTTAATGATGGACAAACTTCTATACCGTCGGTAATTGACGCAAATATCAGAGCCTAACAATAATTATTTTCTTTTTTTTTTCATTTTAAAGGTGTCGAAAATTAAACTCTATGAAACAAAAAAGGATTATTATCAAAATTTTGTAAACTATTTCAATTGATGTTATTTAACTGCGACCTAACGCTATTTTTTCTCGATGTCTTGAGATGATAAAGATCGATATTCGTACTTTTTTTACTGTAGCCAACAAGGCGATTAATCTCTATTTAAAGTAAATATACGAAGACAATTACTATTTCTTGGTTAAAATCCTCGCTTAAAGTCATGAAATAACATATGTATTTTCGACTTCTATATAAATTTGAAAAGTGCCGTACGGCTAGACAATGCAGCGAGTCCTGGCTAGTCGTACGTGACTCGCTTACGGCTAGAACTTTTGGCTAGCCGTACGGGCCCGTACGGCTAGCCACTTCCTTTCTAGAAAATATGATTGTTTATAAAATGTCATAAGCAAGATCAGTCATTTTCATGCAAATATTCCAAATGTTCAATAAGCCGCATACTCTCTTATTATAAAATGATATCTTCCTGTAAAGCTACTGAAAATATTAAGTAAATAAATTCATATTCCAAATGTAAACAAATATACAATAACTACTGAATAAGTACGAGTAAGTTTAGGTACGAAATTTTTATATAAAAAATGGGCACTCACATTTCCTCGTGTAGACGTACAAGCTGCATTTCCCTTGCTGTCCATTGTGACAAACATATATCCACCTCACTTCTTACTGTACCTTTTCCCTTTTCAGTCATTGCATTCTTCTAAATTGTTGCAAAACTACCAAAAATAGTTGGTTGTTTACGACGCTATTGTACTTACTTTAGTAGTTTGCACTAAATTCCGTCCTTTGTCCGTACCACATTTGAATAAAAAATTATAGTGATTAATTAATTATTTTACGCTAACATGTAATTGTAAATGTTTATGGATGTAAATCAAAGGGACTGGTCATTTCTCTGGCTACATGTCTTGATTTTATAGTTCAAATTAGCATATTTGGATTGTTTAACAGGATATGACGTCATAAAGCAACTACGTCAAGAGACGTCGTTTAGTTCCTGCGTTGATGCCGTTGACAACAGAAACTGGTTGCGGGAGGTGAAAGACGGGATCATTAGTTTAAGCCGCGGGATTAACAAATATAATCGTATGTAAAACAAAGTTTTCTTTTTTCATTTTAATGTCTCGTGATATGCTTAAGTTGCAGCTGCATCTTGTGTTGTGTTGGCTGCGCAAACGGTTAAAACTTTAAACGTTGCCTAGGCCTTCATGCTGAACTGTATATTTTGTGCATTGCATTCACATATGTTCATATGCATGTTATTTTTTTTTTTTTAATTATTAATAAGTGATATATTTTGTAAACCATGTTGTTTGGAAAAAGGTGACAATCTACTATTTATTTTTCAGTGTAGGTATATATAGACCTACTGATCTGCTCGATATAATTAGATCTATCTAATAAGTTAAGCTTAAAAATATTCAACGAATTATGAGCTTGAATAAATTAATAATACTTTGTTACATATGAAGCTTGATGTTGACACAGGTCTGTCGACTAACTGTTACTTGGAAATAATAAAGCCGGTTGAGTTTAATATAAAAACAGTCTAGTTCACACTAATTAAAGATTACATATTTGTGTTCTTGTCGAGCACTGCATTTGCACTTTCAATATGTACTTCTAGTGCACTTAAATGTGCATCTCTAGTGCGTTTCGAATTACACTTTGAAGTGAGCCTTAATGCACTAGACCTTTTTTGCACTGGGCACTTGGGCAGTTATATATTTTGTTTGTACAGCACTTTATTACCACACATTTCAACAATTATCAGAAGCTTGTGCCTTTCAAAATATAGAAAAAAATAGAAAAAGAAATACTATTTCAGTTTTGTTACTGTTATATTTTTTTTGATATAATTAAATATAATGGTGTTCATTTTTTGTTTAAATTACCAATTAATTGATTCATCTTTATTTTTCTTGTGGTATGAAAATTATCATATCTCACTCATGGCTACGGAAACTCATGAACTGTTTAAAATTTCATACCGCTCGATGAAAATAAATCTTGTATTTATACAAAAAAAAAAACAAAAACAATGTCCTGTACATGTATGTACCGTGTACACATCATTTTTTTTTAATTACACATATTGTTTACCAATCTTAATTCTTACGGATATATGTCCGTTAGAATTTAAATATATGTACACACATGTGCCATTAACTTCATCTTCTTCTAAAATCACTTTACTATCTCATAAAATCATAAATAAATAAAAATAAAAATAAATAAAAGGTAAATTTTAAAAGTCAATGAAAAGACAGACTGCTTGAATGTAAAACTGAAAAACTAAAAAAAATTGGATTTTTGCACTTTGAAATAATAATAATAATAATAATAATAATAATAATAATATAATAATAATAATAATAATAATAATTAATAATAATAATAATAATAATCATAATAATCATAATAATAATCATAATAATAATAATAATAAATGCGAAAGGGATATTTTCATATTATAACATTTATTTTATAGATAATTGAAATTTCTTTGTCATGTTCAATGCGAAATTCAAAATTAATGCTCATAAATTAGAAAATGTGGCTGGCAGACAAAGAAAATGTTTAGCAATCGACGGAATATGTAAACAATGTAAATCTCGTGAAATAGAGGATGAACTACATTTTCTAATACAATGTACATTGTTTAAGATATGACGATGAATGTAATACACATATCAACAAAATATCATTTAAAGAATTTTCTTATCTTTATATTAATTAAAAAATTAGCACTATATAACGTTTTCCATTTATTTATTAAGTTATGATCTAATGCTTAAGTCACCAACTTTATTACAAATCTTATTTACAAAATAAAAGAAGAGTGGTGCGTAAAATCAAATTCTAACACTATCGGAATTTTTTCTATATAGACAAAGAAGGCCGGAAGCGTGCATTATTCTACAACAATGCACTCGCCGTTCTTATTATCTCCCTGTGTATTTTCACATTGAAGGCTCCATTTTGTTTAAAAAATCTGATAAATTAAAACAATTTTTTTTCGAATTTTGTTGTGAAAACTATCTAGAATGAAAGAAAATGGTCTAACTAAGAAAATTAATCCGAACACCAATATCTTTAATTCAGTCGTTAACGCTGTACAGACGTTTAAAGTGTTGTTTACGTGACGTCACAATGTAGCGCCAAACAGCACATGCAAAACAATCAAATCAAGTTCGCTATTTAATGTCGCAAACGAGTTTAGTTTTACATTTATTTCACTTTTAATAATTTGTATTTCGCTTGGAAAATTATAAACTGAAATAAATAAACAAACAAAGTTGTAGATCTATCAACGTTTTCAAAATTCGTTATTTTCAAAATGTTTCTACAAACGGTAGATTTAACAGTTTTTTTTCAACCCACTGGAACGGCCTCTAAAGAACGTTTCTATTGGAAACTCTGAGGCGAAAACAAATTCAACCACCAAACATAAAGTCCAACGTTATAATAAAAATTATATTTTTTCTTGACGTATTAGAATGGAAATAGATATCAATTCTTCGTGCATTATTGTATAATAATGCACGTTTTTCGTTCAAATGCTTTGTAATTAATCACTCAGGCCTATCGGCCTTCGTGATTATATTACTACGCATTTGAACTCAAACCGTGCATTATTCTACAACAATGCACTCAGAATTGATATCTATTTCCTAAGTATATTTAATCTTAAAAGAAAAATCTTTCGATGACATTAAATCTAATGAATCTCCACGAGGTGAAATTCTGACAGATTTCTATACTAGATTATTGAGTATGTATTCTTAAGCCATAATTACCTTCAAGCTGGGACAAATATCAATTATATGTTAGGTTATATCTACGTAAAAATAGAAATGACTTGTTTATATTGTATTAACAAATTTCTTAGACAAGAGACATTTTAGCTACATTGAATAAATTTACTATCAAGCTAGTGTCAACTTAAAGTGCGATGAATGCAGTCAAATGTAATTATCGTTCTACCATACATCATACAGCATATGACTTTTTACTAAAACTTTCTAACCGTTTGGGTTCAAACCGCGTCAATGGTGAGCCATTGTTTCCTTGAGTGAGAAACTTTACACTTATTGCTCAATACTGGTAGATTCCAGGGACGGATTCGAAAGTGTGTCTTAAAAAAGTACGCTTATATGTTGTCGAAAAAATAAATTCGGTACATATCTAAAAAAAATACTGTCGTTTATATTGTACAATAAGCTTTATGTTGATATTATTGTAGATAAATGCGTTATAAAGATACAGATGTAGACCCTGGCGGGGAGCCAAAGCCTGGGGAACAAGTTTCTACTACAAACACGAAAAGTCCACAGATTGGAAAACATGTCCAAGACCCGGACTCTATGCTAAACACAGTTCGTTATCGTTTCTTTTACAAATTTATAATAATATAAAGAAAAAAAATCAGAAATAGAATAACGTCAAAATGACTTGTAATTGACTAATTGTATACTGATATTTTAGAAAATAAGCCCTTTTTCAGAAGCTCTCTTATATAATGACACACAGTGAATTTCTCCAAGATCCTGTCTAAATTCTTATTAAAAATATAATGAAACAATATACATAGCGTACTACATGTATCTATAATAGATCTATTGATACGCTTTATAGATTTAAAGACTTAAGTATTGATAAGAAAAATTAGCAACATTTAAAAATCAATTACACCCTAGCTCCCCCACACAAAAAACACGAAACAAAACAAACAAAAATACATATTATAAAATAAAAATAATAATAATAATAATAATAAAATTCATTCTTATTACATCGTACTCACTTAATAAAACTTTTTTCCAGTTTATACAATGGGTTACAAAACCTGAAAAGGGCAAGAAAGTCGTAAAACCAAAGCAGCAAAAAGAGAAACCGGAGAAAGTGACAAAAAAGCTGAACTTTTTGAAGAAAAGTCGCTCCGACAAAGGTTACATATGTATAAATTATGAACTAAGCAAAATTACCGTTTGTTGGTACATGTAGTTTTAAGCTGGGGTCCAGAAAATATTTCTTATATTCATTACAGAAAAAAATACATGTACTATGAAAAAATGAATGATCACAAATTGTAAAACGTGTATTAAATACTTTCATTGTTAAAAACACGTCGAGTAAAAGTATCATTTGAAAATCTTTACAAATTATTGCTGAAGTTGTGTGTCGTCGAACTGACTTTGACAAAATACTCTTTCTATGTCCCGCACCCTGGCTATTATGTTATTGTCAACTGAGGCGGAATTAACCGAATTTCTACGACTGAAGAAGAATTATCCCCGGTTACCCACGGTATATACCGGTATATTTCGTATACATAATACATAATATATTCCGTACAAACTAGATTATTTACATAATGTAGTATGTATATGGAATGTATACCGTGGGTAACCGACGCTGAAGAAGAATGCGTTGTCGCCAGTATGTTTAGTTTAATTCATTCATATATACATGTACATGTAATCATTTTTGTTTTCATAGGCGCAACAAGTGAAGAGCTTAAGCTTCTCAGAGAACGTCTCTCAAGACTAGAGAGTAACCCTTTGCTACAAAATGTGCACTTTTCACGTCCATCTACGCCACAAGCAATACCTAGCACCAGTACTGGTGAACCAAGTAACAACTCATGTGTTGATAGTAAGTACTAAGTAAATTTTATAATCCAATGGGTATAGGTCATTCAAAGATGTCAATTCTGTAGTTTTGTCTAGTTTATTAATTATTTTTGTTTTTGCATTGTGGGTTTATTTCTAGAGCGTATACAGACACCTGTTGCTAGTTCTAACGTTTAATGATGTTCACGGTATAGGATCGAGTGGCGGGAAGATAATGGGCATGCGCATTACTAATGATGGCTGATTTGGTACACTGCGCGTTGCGTTGTCGATGGCGACAACACAACCTATATCGTTATCGCTTTTCGTCTTGTCGCCAGCGAAATGCGCCAAACGGCGCCTTGTCGCCATGTCGTCCTGTCTTTAGCGAAGCACGCCAAACGGCGCGTTGTTCTGGGCGCGTTGTCGCAATGTCACCCTGTCGCTTGGTAATAAGCAAATCCTTCGATTTAAGTCCAAGCGACAATGTGACATCGCGACAACACGCTGGACGACAACTCGCCGTTTGGCAAGCATCGTTAGCGACAGGACGACAAGACAAAGGTCCGACAAATCGCCGTTTGGCGCTTTGTCGTGCTGTTGCTACAGACAACACGAAGCACAAAAGGGTTTCAAATCAGCCACCATACATTACTGTATTTAGTCTATATTATGATAAAGCATACAGTTGGCATTTTACTTTTTTACGGTTACTAATATAACCGTTAAGGTAAAGAGAAGTGTAACACTTTTGTGCTTTTAAAGGTGTCTTCCTTTTAACCCAATGATAGTTAGTTCGAGCCCTAGTCGATCAGCGACTATTTTTATTGATATGAACCAGTACTGGTCAGTTCCAAGAAGCGGACTTACCAGGCGAGCACAAATCGTTATTTGCATTTTTTTTCTTCTTTTGTAAAATAAACTTATTCATATTTATAAACTCTATAATAAGGGCGAATTTCATTGGATGACGACAGACTATAAAGTCTTACACAAACAAGAAGAAATCTTCTATTACAATAATGATATTTGATTTACAATTATACCGTTTTTATGTTCGTGGTGGTGGTGGTGGTGGAGGGCGGGGGTCGTGTTCCAGTGTGTTGTCTTTAATTTCTTTTGAATCTGGGACACTATATTACCGGTATTACTGGACCTCTCCAAAGCGTTGTGAATGATTGCTAGCGGCATCCATTTTGTGTATCAAATTGAATTTGATGAACCTCATTTAAAGCCTAAAATCATTCGAACTAGTCTTAAATATGTGTGCATGTTCCTTTTCAAAATATGACTTTACTTAAACGAAATATTAACTTCGAGGTGAACAAATCGTTATAAGGAAAAAATCGAAAAAATATCACTTACGTTACCTTGGACACTATATATACGAACAGTGGTTCATTCCGTTTTGAATCTTTTAAACTGTACAAAATTGATTGTTGTTTTCTGAATAGAATCTAGCGTTTTACTATTTCATGTTTTGAAAAATAGTAACAATAAACACTATAGCCCCAATATCACCAATCATTATGATTTGTGTACCGAAATTGTGCTGCTCCTCTAACTTTTGAACATCTCTCCAATTATTCCTATATTTATTTTGTTTCCAAATGCAGTGCTTATGAAAATCTACGTAGCCAATTTATTAAGCGTTGTTTTTACATTCGGCCAAGTATGGCCAAATTTATAGATTTACTACAATCTAAAAGCCATAAAGTATTTACAAACTTATGTTATTATTTAAAAAAGGCAAACATCAGACGAAATGATAACTCTAGAAATCTTCAATAGTATTATGATGCTGTTTTGATTATATATACTGTGATGTTCTTTCTTTATATTATATAAATATTTTGTCAAACAAATTCGATTAAAAGCGAAGTTATAGTTTGTTCTCCGCTTAAATTTAGTACTCTTCATTATTCATTTACAGAAGTAATTTATAGATATAAATATATAATTGATTAATGGAGATTTGTCAGTATATGTAATGTATTACATTGTATGTATTAAATATCCCATTGCTCAGTATTAAAAATTACTAATTAAAATTATTATTAAACTGTTATTACTTTTAGAATTATTATAAAATTATATTTCAAACTGCTTGTTATAACGATGTACCTATGTCTGTACAAGTTATGAAATAAACTCTGTTCTGTTCTGTTCCTATTTAGAGCTTATCCGGAGACTGACGGAAACAGCCGATATGTAGCTATTGTTCTTTCTTAAAGAAGCAGATTTGTATATAATATTATGTTAATGATTGAATTCAGAACATAATCCTCTAATATGTTGCTAGGATACCGAGTGATGTACTTGTTGGTCAGGGTAGAACAGGAACTAGACCATACAAGAAGGGTTGTGCACAACATGCAAGAAAAGGGCGCGAAAAGATCACGAGTTCGCTCTGTGTCAAAGGTCATGAGGCAAATCGACAACCTGCGGGACCAACTTCTGCGCATCCTTGGCAACGATACTGATACAATTGAACGCATTGGCGATGCAGACGACATGGAGCTGTTCTTTCAGAACATCGACAGCATTTGTTCTGCTGCACAGGAAATCACGTTTGATGGTGATGGAAACGAGGCTCTATGTAAATTGTTGCTTGAAAACAACGATAAACCAAATGGAGTCATCACGTTGAAAAACGGAAAGGTTTGTTGTATAAAAATGTTTATTTCTTTTAGAGAAATAGATATGTACCTGGTTGTGTGAATGAAATTGAAAAAAATATGTGTGACAATAACAAAAAAAAAAAACCAACAACATCAAGAACGAACAAAAAAAAACAACAACATTTCATTGTAAGCTTTAAGCAGTGAAAGTGTTTGTAAAATACATTTCATAACAACAGTACACTTACTTGCTTAAAAGAAAAATATATGTCAGTATATTTAGCATCGTAAATTTAAGGACCACTGAAGTTTTTTGAATGTCGGGACTGCAGATTAATGTTTCATTTGATGAAGGTCTAGACCAATTACTTGTGTTCACAGTTTCAGACCATTCGCTCACACAGGGGTCTACGTTTTTCCAGAATGATTCTTCTTATTTTGAAATATAATCCAAAATTGAATAGCACTGCAACGGTTTCCACTCAGATCGGGCTAAAATAGCACAAAATACGACTTCTTAATCATTATAAGTATATTTATTACATATCGTTTGCATATCTTTATGTTTAAAGTGCCTAGTTTGGTCTATGTAAGAAATTCAAATTTTAGGTTTTTGACCTCAGCGGAGTTTTTCTTTAAAAAAGGCTTATTTAGAACTTGGTTCCATACTATTACCAGCAATGTTTGAATGAACTAATATATTTGTTTGCAGTTTTACGGACCATTTTTATTTTGAATACAATTCAGTAAGAAATGTTTAGATGATTTTAACAACGAAAAAGAACTTCCCAACCTTTTCCACGTTGTCTGCATATATATATATCGTTCAAAAGTATTGATTAACTAGGAATGGGTTATCAGTTATTGCGCATGGCCACTTAAACTAGAATTCCCCAGGTGTTTTTTTCTAAAATGTCGCATGTTCTCTAAGGTAACTTTAAACAACAGACAAAACTTCAAAACATATAAATCGCTGTATTATTTTAACTGCTGTGTTGCATAGAAAACAAATGTCTCTCTGATTTAATGAAGTACACTGTAAATGAGGAGAACACCGGACGCGTTCACACTTGTTCAATTTTGGAACATTGCGCGTTTATATTTTGAATGCCTGTGTTCAGAAAAGGAGTTCTATTACGAGTTGAACACTTATCATTTGAACGTCAGTGTTCAATGGTAGTCCTTCTGACTAGACAACATGAAAGAATTTGAGTGTTTGACTACTTGGGTCAATATATTGTCAGTTGGGGTTACACTTACGCAATTTAACAAGTAATGGTGCTTTAATAATTAAAACATTTTAAAGTGGAACATGATATGAACAGTAGCGTTCATCGAATGTTCTAGTTGAGAACGTTTCTAAAAATAGATTTGTGACAATTTCTGACGTCATTCCAAGTACCACAACAACAACAACGACAACAACAAGTAAGCGTTTGCGAAACGCAAGCTGAACATTTTACACTAACAATGACTAAAATTGAAGAAAAAAAACGGTATTAACTTTTACTTCTTTAGCTTTCTTTTTTATCCATAATTATTTTATTTTTCTGAAAAGAACTAAGTCGTCATCTTGTTGTAGTTATTAACGTGTCTCCTTATATACAAGAAGAAGATCTATGTGATATTGTAGAATAGATGTTTTATGAGTAGTCGGGGTTAGAACTATCAAAATGCAAAGATTAATGAATTCTTTAGAAATTGTGTATAGATCTTTGTATGATATATTGTGTTGATTTATATTTTAATAGGATAGCGAGTAAGTAGTGTTGTTTCAAGCAGTGATGAAAGATTTGAGCTATAGACTGTAGATCTACAGAAACTGTTCCAGACTTCCATACAGATCTTTGAGGTTTGTTTCCTTAAACAATATTAGGTTGATAATACCGGTATTTAGATTCTTACATTTCCAAATGAGTTTTTATCGTTAATCAAATCATTTTACATTCCATAACTGTTACAAAGATGGCCTGGCATTGTGTCACAAATAAATTGTGTGGTACAAGAGTCGTAGCTATGGATTCAAATCGACTTTGTGAGAATGTGCATGGCCCTGGTGATGTCAGAATTATATTAAGATAACCTGACTTGAATCTGGTGTCTGATAAACTGTTAGATAATGCTTAAACATAATATATATATTATATTCATGTTTGTCAACCACTTAGGCTGTTATTCTCTATATCAGAACTGTAAAGAATGATTTATCTCATAGGAAGCAACTATATAAGCCTTTAAATCACCTGCATGTTAATAAATTCCATTAATGTTTTCCAGGATAGTGAAGAATATGATTTTCCTGCTAAATTGGAGACAAATGAAAACACCCCGCACAAACTGATGACATACATTACAGAGGGGAGCAACTGTCCTTTGGTGTTTAGACATAGAATATTGATTATTATTTATGTACTCTCGCAGAAGTTTGTATTTGCGAAGAAATTTAGGAAATTATCCTTAATTCATGTGTTATGTTAAGAAGACTGCATTCATGCACACAAGAATATAACACATAAAAATACAACATGTAATAACAATAAGTGAAACAATGCTAGGATATTGAGATATTGTGTGATTACTCGTATTTTTGTGGTCTGAAATGAAACGCAAGATTCATGTTATCATGTACAAACAAGTTACTGAAAGAACTTTGTAAAACAGTATTTATTTTTTTACATTTTGATCATAATAGTTAATCTTAAAATCTTTTCATTTTTTACACTTATTTTTTATAACTGCTTATCAGGCTTAGAGTTAGAAAATAATAAGAAATTTTGGATAACATTATTCATTTTGTTATTGTGAATAACTAAAGAATAATTAAAAAATCTCAATATGATTCTTTGATCTGTTGTTTTATCAGGTGTTCAAATGTAACATAAGTGTTCATCAGTGTTCTAACTTTTAACATACCTAATTTTGAACATGTTCTATGCGTTCAATATCTGTTGCATCGAAATTGAACGCGTCTGGCATTTAAAAGTAGAACACCTGAGTGTTCATTACATGTTATATAATGGAATGGTTTGGTGTTAAGATTTTAACGTCAACGTTAAAATTTGAACCCTAGATGTTTATAAGGCGTTAGTATATGAACGGTTGGAGTCAAAAGTTGAACACCAGTATTAAGAAATGGAACGCGTCTTGGCGTTCAATATCTGTTGCAAATAGGCGTTCAAGATGTGTTCTATTCTTGAACTTTTACATTTACAGTGTAACATAGATGCGCTGCCCTACTGGCAAAAATAGACCGTACTGGCCGAAAATTAGAAAGGGCCGGAAAACTGCTTGGGGCCGGAGACTGCTAAGAAACCAGTATAGTATACACGTGAATATTTGCACTTACTCAAAACTGAGATTTCTTATTCCTGCAGAATATTTCTGTTATTTAACACACGGGAATATTGTACTTTAACAGAATAAACTGAGCAGACACAAAATAGTATACTGTTATTATAATAAGTGATAATTGCCTATAGCAATAATTTTGTGTATTCAAACATATTTCTTTCAGGCGGGTAAATTGAAATCCTTTTTATTTATTTTTCAAAATTCAAATGATAACTTTGTTAGCAAAAGGCAACATACCGCTTCATGCACTTCTATATTCTAAGTAGATTATTTCATTTTGTAGGTAAAAATGAAAAAGAGCGGGTCCTCGCCAGGTGATCTTAAAGCTGTGTTCGGTGTTGACAAAAGTGAGTAGACGTACCAATTATTTATCACATATAAATACACACTTAAAAAAGGTAGAGAAGTGGGGCTTAGAGCAGGGATGTGGGGCTGCTGCTCAAGCCGTTGTCGTTTTTATACTTGCTTTACTTGCTCAAAACTTACGAGTTAGGAAACTACCCGCCTATATGACTGAAATACTGTTGGGAAAAGGCGAAAAATGAAACAAACAAACAAACGAAAGAGACGAAACTACACTATCATCTCAAATGCTGGTATTCAATTACACATGTACCTAAAAAAAGGATGTTCAGGAAAATAATGAGCGACCATTTAACACATTTTCTCGTACATATGCTTTGGGCGGGGATAGAAATGTAGGGGCCAGACTTATAAATGGGAAAAAATGCTCAACTTTAATATTAATTTTAAATAATTGTTAAAAAATTACCGATTTTGTGAAGGCAATTATTTATTTGAAGATTTTGAGACAACTTTTGCCTTTCTTCGTGTACAAGTATTTAAATGAAGCTATTTTATCTAAATATACGCCTACTGCAGCGTTGTACATGTTAATGAAAAGCATAAATCAAACAAATGGATATTACCAATCATGTTTAAAAATGCCGAAATTAATACATGTGAATAATTATAATAGTGGTTTAATAATACTGTCATTTTAAAGGCACATTATGCCTCAGATATGCTATCTTTTTTATTTCTCAGATTTTTTTTTGTATTTTGTTACAGTTTCAAAAACAAATACTTATTTGCCATCTAAGCTTCTCTGCTTCTTGTCCTCTGTTGGTATTTGGTATAATTATAATGAATTAGTATTTTGTATGGAAGTTAACATACTTATTTGTTTACGTTTTGCTACCTTTACGACACATTAACTGCACATTCAGTGCTAATTTCTTCAGCTGTTAAACATGTAACATACTCTAAATCCATAAATCCATTACCATACCATTTCATGACATGTCTAGATAATTTGATAGATATATATTTCTGTGGCATAATGTGCTTTAAGCAAACCCGCTGAAAAAAAAACACTTAATTACCAGTCTAAAATAATACTAATATTAATCTAGAAATTTAATATCAGAAAAATCAATTTTACAACGGGAAAACCTTTCGTACGTACGTTGAACTAGACACATTGATTTTCTATTAGAGATGGTTTTCCAAAGCGCGTAGGAAAAAAAAGTGAAAATTGAAAATTCCATCAGTGACATTGAAGAACTTAAGCTCCGTGTTGTACAATACGTCACTTGAATGAAGATTTCGTTTGAAGAAATAACACCAATAAAAACAATTATAATAAAATAATAATTATAACACCACCAAAATAAATAAATAAAAAATATTAAATAAAAAAATTCAAAAATATATACTCTGTAAAATAATAAAAAAATAAGAAAAATAATAAATAATAAGAAAAATAATAATGATTTTGAATAGATAGATAGAAAAAATAAATAAATAAATAAATAAATAGATAAACGAACGAACGAACGAACGAACGAACGAACGAACGAACGAACGAACGAACGAACGAATGAATGAATGAATGAATTTAATAAAAAACAAGAACTGTCGGAGGACAGTAACGCTCGACTATTCGAAAATTTGTCACAAGGGTGTTTCATTGAGTATAATAATGCTTACCTATATTAATACATAAAATTGTCCGAAAAGGTACAAACTCTTCAAGTTTCAATACATTCCCTTCAGTAGTTATGGAGATACAAGCTTACATGCAAACACTTAACCAAGAATTCATGAGTCAAAAAAAGGGGCATAAATATGTAAAAAAGCAAATCAGAGTTATGGGACTTGTGCCAATTATCTTAGATAATCACAGAGAACAAGTGTGTGAAGTTTCAATCCATTCCCTTCAGTAGTTATGGAGATACCAGCTTACATACAAAAACTTAACCAAGAATTTCTAAGTCGAAAAAGGGGCATAATTATGAAATAAAGCAAACCAGAGTTATGGGACTTGTGCCAATCATCTTAGATAATCACATAGAACAAGTGTGTGAAGTTTCAATCCATTCCCTTCAGTAGTTATGGAGATACCAGCTTACATACAAAAACTTAACCAAGAATATCTAAGTCGAAAAAGGGGCATAATTATGAAAAAAAGCAAATCAGAGTTATGGGACTTGTGCCAATCATCTTAAATAATCACAGAGAACAAGTGTGTGAAGTTTCAATCCATTTCCTTCAGTAGTTATTGAGATACCAGCTTACATACAAAAACTTAACCAAGAATTTCTAAGTCGAAAAAGGGGCATAATTATGAAAAAAAGCAAACCAGAGTTATGGGACTTGTGCCAATCATCTTAGATAATCACAGAGAACAAGTGTGTGAAGTTTCAATCCATTCCCTTCAGTAGTTATGGAGATACAAGCTTACATACAAAAACTTAACCAAGAATTTCTAAGTCGAAAAAGGGGCATAATTATGAAAAAAAGCAAATCAGAGTTATTGGACATGTGCCAATCACCTTAGATAATCACAGAGAACAAGTGTGTGAAGTTTCAATCCATTCCCTTCAGTAGTTATGGAGATACCAGCTTACATACAAAAACTTAACCAAGAATTTCTAAGTCGAAAAAGGGGCATAATTATGAAAAAAAGCAAATCAGAGTTATGGGACTTGTGCCAATCATCTTAAATAATCACAGAGAACAAGTGTGTGAAGTTTCAATCCATTCCCTTCAGTAGTTATTGAGATACCAGCTTACATACAAAAACTTAACCACAGGGACGCCGACGCCGACGCCGACAAATGGGTGACTGCATTAGCTCGATTATTCTGCGAATAGTCGAGCTAAAAACAGTGGAAGAAAAACAACAAAACAATGAATTCTGTCAGAGAGACAACGTGGAGGACCCATAGCACAACACATTTTACCGGCGCTGTACTTAAAATAAAGTTATATTCATAAAGTTATAATGACAAATTAAAAACACTGTTCCTAGCACCGAAATTAATTAATATCTTTAAACATTAATGATCAATTATACATTTACAAAAATAAATAAATAAAATAAAAAATAAATAAAATATAAATAAATAAATAAATATGAATAAATAATAAGTAAATAAATAAAATTTAAGATAAATAAATAAATAAGAAATAAATAAATAATTAAAAATAGAAAGAAAGAAAGAAAGAAAGAAAGAAACAAATAAACAAGTACAAGAACTATTCAACGTAACCGTTAGTAGGTACAACATTATTGATTTTCTATTAGTAATAGTCGCAGCGCATAGAAAAAAGATGGAAGTTGAAGATTTCATTAGCGGATAATATTTAGCATCAATCCCAATTTTTCAACGAGTTACATGCATGAAGAAAACAAAATTCTTCTATAGAATCTAGTTAATACTGTCTATAACTATATATAATGTTTTATAAGAATGGATTACAGAAACGAATTTTTCTACTTTGGTAAGTCTAGTGTATGGAGCGTTTGGCGAAGAGTATTTTCTTAAAGATTTTTTTAAAAAGATAATTTGTTGATAATAGGTGTACTGTATTCTTAAAGTTTTTGTTTTTTTATGAATCTGAATTTAAATGTTAATAAATGAATTTTGTAACAAATGATTGTTTGATATCGAAACATCGTTTTTTAAGAAGTATATTATTGCCAAATATATTAATAGTTTTATAAAACAATAGTAGAACCATCATGCGATATTTTGTTTGTTTGCCTGTGATGTTAACTTATAGCTATGCATTGTTCATAAAATCAGTATAGAGAAAAAATGGCACCCGTAACGGCATAGATACGTTATACGTACAGTTTCCGGTCAAATTGTCTTAGAGGTAAACGTGCCTCGCAAGAAAAAAAAAAACACCACAAAATCACCATAAAAAAGAAATAATGAAATAAAAATAAATATTCTTGACAAGTTATATGATAGGCAGTTTATAAACGGTTGTTTGCAATGTTATAATCGCCCTACAACTTGTTACTTGTTGTAGATCTATATACATGTATAGTTTATGAACATAGAAGAACCAATTCTTGGCCGGTTATTATTACCAAAGGCCACAATATTTAATTGAGCCGCGCCATGACAAAACCAACATAATGGGTTTGCGACCAGTATGGATCCAGACCAGCCTGAGCATCCGCGCAGTCTGATCAGGATCCATACTGTTCGCTATCAGTTTCTCTACTTGTTTTAGGGTTTTGTAAGCGAACAGCATCCATGGATCCTGATCAGACTGCGCGGATGTGCAAGCTGATCTGGATCCATGGTGGTCGCAAACGCATTATGTTGGTTTTGTCGTGACGTGGCTCAAATATTATCGTAAAGCATGCATGATGATGGCAACAAATACACAATGTATGCTTGATAATTACAGAGGACGCCGTGCCAGACAGCCATTATTATAAAAATACTAAAGAAGCGTTAGAAAAATACAGAAACAAGGGTGGTAACTCTGACGGAACACGTCCCGGAAACGGCGATAGAAACAAGCTCGTGTATAGTAAGTGATTATTTCTTGCATATCAGACAGGAATATCTACCGTTTATACGTGTCCAACCCCCTGTAAGACAAGTCACGTGCATTAAATGACGTCATTCCAGCGCGCTCATTATAAATGAATTTGTAAATTCATACGCTACTATAAATAATAAGTGCTGAATGAAAATATTACATTTCCTCATTTCTTTCCGAAATATGATTAACGTAATATGCAAGAAAAAAAATTAAACACCAGCTGTCGTAACAGACGGAATAATGAAGCTCTAGCTCCGGTTACTGTTAGTGGAAATTCGGCAGAATCTCGTTACCGCCGTAAACAGCTACCCCCCGAACTAGATATTTCGGTCTTTATCGAAAGCCAGTGTAGCATCCTTATCTAACATGCAGCAAAGGCGTTTAAGTAAACATAGACACCAGCCTGATATCTCCGTTTACTATTTTATTCATTCATCCAAGAAATATTGTAATAATTTTGAAACATTTTACAATCCTTTGACGTCGAAAATGTTACATTTATTTCAAAATGATAATTATAAGCTGCACCTTTCCTATAATAATCGATAGACTGGTGTGAGTTTAAGCCCTTGTTAATTTATAACCAAGTGATAAAAGAAAATATGATCACTTGAATTAGCGTTTTTTCCCCCGGTTATTGACTATTTATACCTAACATTACTAAGGCTGAAGAAAAATCGATCTCTTTTTTTATTCACCATTGCTTCATTATCAACTGAATATAAAAAAACATTTTACTAAATAAATAAATAAATAAATAAGCGTTTGAACATGTGTTTGAATTGAAACTTTATTTCACAGAGAGCGAGGCCGTGGACAGTTGGTCAGACACCGACACGGACGAGGAAATGTCCGCACTGGAGAAATGTGATGGTCAGAAGTACAAATGGCCAATGCTCAACACAAACGACGAGAAACGCATAGAGAAAGAGAAAAAGTTACATACGCTTATGACTGAAATAGGTTTGTATAGTATATAAATTTGTTATGTTTGTGGTATGTCATGTGGTATGAGATGCCATTTTAAGTAGCATGCGTGTAAAATAATAGTTGAATAACGAAAAACGGTCTTGTTTCGAATCTTTTTTTCCTATCAATTTTAAGGGAATACAGTTCAATTTTCCTAAAACAATGGGCATCGCTTATCAATGCTTATTATATGTATAAACATCCAAGTTCACCTGCAGCTATTAAGATAAGAAATATTTGAACTCTGTATGGTGCATTTGTGTACGGTAGAGCACTTATAACAGTTATATTAGAGTTCAGGGTAAATTTCTCTGAATGAACTACAATTGCAAATACGATTTGGTATTATAAGCATTATTTTAATAATATACCATTGTTTATTGTACTTCCACAAACAAAACATATATAGAAAGAGTGATTTTTTTTTCGTTGAAATATTTTGATTTTTCATTTTGTTTCCTACGGTATCTTTGAACTATATTTTCAGTCACAATCATTAGATAAGGCATAAAAAGTGACATTTAACAAGGCGGTGAAATGCAAGGGGTATACAAATGGATTTATTTAAAAAAAATAAATAGATGAAAAGTATGTCAATAATACAGATGCATAACTACGTATACTAATGAGAATCTTGTATCTTATTCAGATGACCTCATGGATGAAGTTGGCCTCACTGACAACAAGGCACATAGCAACGGTATAACCTACGAGGTCCTCATGATGGGCAGTGGTGAAATGACGAAGGTAACGGAGAAGAAAGAAATCCCAAAGAAGAAGGTGAAGAAATTCGACACAAACCCCGACAAGTTCAAGGCAGCAAGATCTAAAATCCCACTGAAAAAGGCACGAAGCCAGCCAGATCAGTTTGTGGAAGAGTTCGACAAGTTGCTCAATGAATGTGATAAGAGTGATAGGAAAAAATAAAAAAGTCAATGTAAATGTCACACAAAAAATCTTTTGTTATTTATTGTGTACCAAAATGAGCAGTAGCATTGTGTGGTTCACACTGGACCATTTTATTCCTTAAACTGCAGACATAAAGAAGAAGTATGAGGTAAACCGAATATTTTTTGTCGGTCTACAGTAACTTTGCGAATGCTTATAGAGATTCTACATCAAAGTCCAGGGGTTGCTTGTACTATTGTACCTATTGGTAATCGAAGGAATCGTGTCTTATGTAAGACACAATACAATACTGTTTTAATGGCGATCATTTAGCAAGTTACTTCCCCTTTCCATAATTTGATTCTTGCAGCAGCAGGTGTGAGAAACTGGCAAAAAAGTAATACACATGTATAAGTAAATTCTCAACTGTGTGCTTCAAAATTAACTCTGCCAGGACAATATGAGGGCGGCATGTCTGTGTTCCACTTACACATTTTGTTCATTCTGATCTTTCTAATAGATTAGCAAAACCTTTGTTGATCATGCAGCATAAAAAAATTAATAAACATACAACTGACCACGTTTTCACATAAGCTTAACAAACCGTGAAATAATTGGCCTAACAAGGTTATATGCAAAGATACATTCTGGATAATGTAAGTCCCTAGTATCATTAGTCAATAAAACGCCCAGATAACAATATTTTGGGATTTGAACACACCTAAGAAGACGAATAAGTGCCTCTTTATACTATCTTTAGCCATATCCCCAATCAAACTTTAATTAAATTACTAATTAATCAAAACATGCATATATATATATTAAAATAAAAAGAAAACTTTTTTACTTTGACAACCATTCTGTATTTTATTAGTTCACAATTTAAACAAACATTAACAAATGTCGGTAACACAATAAAGATACGCAAGATATCATTGTCAACATAATCAATTTAGAGAGTTTTGTTTTTATTGTCATTCAACTAAGTTTCTTAAAAGTATCCTGCAGTTGAAACCTTATTAAAGCGGCCGTCAGCTTTTCTAAAGGTTTAATAGAGGATATTGAATGAATGTAGGTTTAATATTGAATTTATTAAACGAGTTGAATTTTTTTTTCATATCAGACAGGATTATCTGTACCGCATACACCCTTTCTTGCATATCAGGATTATCTACCAGGTCGGCAAAACCCTGTCTTACACCCCGTGTAAGACAAGTCGCGTGCTTTAAGTGACGTCATTGCCGTGCGCCTTTTATGAATAAATTGCGTTCTATGGATGACGCCATTTTCCCGCTATGAATGAAGTTTGTAGGTTCATACCCAACTATGTATATGTTAGTGTTCATTCGTACTGTTCTACAGAAATTAGAAACATCGACGGCAGCGATAGCGACAGGAGAATGTTTCTAATTTCTGTAGAACAGCTACGGATGAACACTTACATATTTAGTGTCAAGCTTTATTTGGCTTAATTTTATTCACTTAATTACGTCACTACGCGGTTCTTTGAAGTACTATGAAAAATAGAAGGCAACTATGAGCGGAATTCGACATAGTATCGACTTTTGTTCTTCTATGAAAATTAACACACGCAATCTTTAAAGATATACTATGTTCAAATTTGATATCAGGAATTTCTGGTTATTGCTACACAGTCTCTTTGTAAATATAAAATAAACATGTTTTGACTACACACAAAGTAGATATTTTATGTTTAAAACTCTACACACTGTAAGTGCACTGGTCACAATATGAATATATAGTGTCGTTAAAAAACTGGCAGTTTTTTTGGAAAAATACCAATAGAAAGGAACGACTTTCAAAACATAGTTAATTCGTTTTTTATTCAAATTAGACATATTCAGTAAGGATTTCATAGGTTTTAACAAATATATTGGATTAAAATATTTTACTCAAAGATGAGCATGGTATATCTTTAAGAAATACAGCGTTTTCATTGGATGACAAATAAAGCTGGACACTTAAAGAAAAGTGTGTAATGAAAATATCAGTTTTCGTAATTTCTGTTCCGAGAATAAATGGCATTTAATATGCAAGAAAAAGAATCAAACACTTGCTGCCGGTACAGACCGGAATATCTAGCCCTCGTTACCGACGTAAACAGTTACCCTCAAGTTAGATATTCCGGTCTGTACCGGCAGCCGGTGTAAGATTCTTAAAGTCTATACCCCCTCCCAAATGTAAGACAAGTCGCGTGCATCGCGGTCCCGGCCTTTAACTTCCCCGTATCAGTTTATGAAATAAATTGATAAGTAATATGCAAACACCGACTGTCCATACAGACAGGAATATCTAGCTCTCGGTAATTTTTAGCGAACTCTCAGCAAAGCCTCGTTACCGCCGTAAACAGTTACACCCCACCCCCTCCCCAAGCTACATATTCAGGTCTGTACCCGTAGCTAGTGTAAGATTCTTATAATATTATGGAGCCTCTAGCGACCAAAATATTATTTTATTCAACGAGTTCAATAAATTCAGTAATGAACCTGCACGAATGTAAAATTCTATTTATCACATGCCCAAAATTATGTGCAAAAAGAATTCTTTTCCATTGATGCGCCTATAGTGTAAATTTATAGTAAACGCTAACATACACTATAACGTCACGTCAAACTATATGCACGGAGTGCAATATCATATTTACTTGCACATCATATTTACAGAGTCGCAAAATCAGCACGGTATGTGTTAAAAGTTCAAAGAAACGTTTCCTACTATGACTGCCTCAACTTCACAAATTTACTGTTATTTCACAAATGTACTGTAACAATAAGAAATCAAAAAACAACAACGATGATAAAGTATTATATCATAGCAATATCTTTAGAATGTACATATCTGAATCAGTACATCAGTACATGTACACTTAATTTGATTGTTTAAACTGTAAGCACATGTCACACCTCAATGAGCAAATGAACGAGTCCCCACCCTTGACTGAATATTTACTTCCTATTTATGCCTTGAAAAATATTACTTCCAACACTTCTCCGACCAAAGCAAACTTTGTCACGAATAACTATATAATCTCCTCCATTATTAAACCATGCAAATATGTATGTACGTGAGACCACTGTATTTGCAACTGGAATAGATGAACAATCCTCTTTACTAACGAGCACACCCCACAAAGCTCAAACCTGGTACATACATTAAAGACATACATTATAATATATCTTGCAGAATTAAACTTGGGGTAGAACTAGTCCTTTAATCCTCTCGTCCCTGGCGTTATTTCTTAAGAAATAGGTCTAGCTGGGCAGTTTCGTTAATCTCCAGCGATTTCTTTAAAGTTGAATGTACCCTTGAGAAGCCTGCATGCTGGAAGCTGTGTGGCATCTGCTGGCATGGTGTATGGTCCCTGGTCTCCCATATAAACAGATCTAGATCACTGTTAAGGTCTTACAATACGCAATGCAAGTGGAAATATCACATGGTATTATTGCTCATTTTAATTATAGAAATACAATGTACACTAACTGGCAATAAAAATAGCAATAGCATATAAAGCAGCACGCCTTCAGATTCATGTTGATTTAAAGTTAAAAAGTAAAATAATGTGAGGTGAACAAATAAAGTAACTTAAATATTGCAATCGGCACATACGATCTACGAAAATTACCAAAATGTGTTCAATTTGTTTGATTGGGTTTTACGTCACACCGACACATTATAGGTCATATGGTCAACATATGCAAAAACAGCACTTACTGAGTTAGTAACACAGTTGAAATATTGTGATAAAATACTGCAAAATCAGTGTTAAACCGTACATAACATATAAAATGTAACTTGGATCTTGAATGTTTTTACCTCTCTTAAAAGTTTAGTGTATTTTTCTCAATATTGATTTTCTTGAAATATTTTGGATCATCTGGAGGCGTGCAGCTTTAATACTAGTAAATAAGAGACAATTAAGGCTGTTAACCCTTTGTCTTCCTTAATTGCTTATATATAATTCATAATTCATCTAATCTATGCGTTCCACTGCTCAGTAAGTCAGTCCTTTCAATATTAGAACTAAAAACCTAAACTTAGCATAAATTTCCAAGACATAAATGTTGATAGGCAAAAAATTAGGCAACCAATATGCTCAAAATCTATTCTAACGCAGGTTAAGCTATTTCTTAACAGATCTCATCTTAATCCTAAAATTTCCTTTGTCTCAAGTATAGAGCCAGACCAGCCTTCACATCCTTGCACTCTGACCAGTATCTATACTGTTGGTAGCTTAAATTTTATATTTTGATAAATCCTTCAAAACAAGGCAATTCCAGTACAAAAATTCAACTGGTTAACCGTTTAACGTAACTTAAAAAGTCATTTTGTTTGTTTTACAGCACACCAAAATTCAGGTCATATTGCGTCTAAACCTGAAAGATGATTTTTGGCCAAACTCTGGTGTTACAAACTTAAAGCAACACCAGGGGTCAAAACCACCTCACCTGATGGAGCTTAAAGATCCATAGATTCTAGTAACATGAACCCATTTAGTTGCCTCTTACCATATCGCAGGGATAAATAGCAGCTGCAATTCTAATGCCTAAACTATCAAAGGCAACTAACCATTCAGCTACAAGGGTAAACACAAAAGATCAAACACAAAAGATTAAAAAGACAGCATTCATAAGATATGAAAAGTAAAGAATACGGTAAACGTAGAACCCAGAGTGAGCCTGAACTAAGGTCTATCTCTTCTCCAACCCCAGGGTGGAATATAGGACATGGGTGAGGTGCAGGTTGTATCAATGGGTTGATACTGACCCTCAAAGGTCCATCTGGAGTCACTACAAACAGCCTCATCATCTGCGCCATATAACCTTTAGAAGACCTGAATAATATACATATCACATCTTAACAAAATGCTTGAAGTACTGTTAAAGCTTTTGCGCAAAATTTCAATTCTTGTATTTTTTTTATGATTCAACCGATAACATGTTTGAATCCAAAGTGTCTTGCCTTTGCCACAAGTGTAGAACCAGGCTTGCCTGCACAGCCGTGCAATCTGAACAGGTTCTATACTGTTTGTCACTCAAACTTTGTATTTTTTAATAATTATCTAAATCCCTTAAACTTTGAATGGACTGTTCCAAATTCAAAGCTGGGCAAAACCATTATTCAAATTCAGCAAGTTCTGGTTAAGAACAGTAATAAGTATATGAGACTTACAAACAATGGATCAAGATTTAATTCCAACCCCTCCTGCTATAACTTTTAAAATAACAACAGTGGTTACTGTACACAGACACAACTTTAAAACCATTAACTGTGATTCCCTATAATAGTCCTTCACATTTTCAACATTTATCCTGCATGTTTATGAACCAGAGGTTATTTCTTGAATAAAATTCTCTGTTCTCTTAAGTATACTTCCGCAACAAACACTTACTCTGGAGAGAATCACTCACCAATGTTTCTAGTGGTGACTATGGAACATATCATATACAATAAATTCCCATTGAGGCTGTAAAATTAATCTTTACCACGCTAAATATATTGATGAACTTGTCTAGTTTTCAATCTTGACCAAACCATTCATCATTTTTAAGGGAAACATTTCAAAATAAGTACATGAATTGATTAAATAGCGAACAGGGTAGGTAGATTGGTATGGCATGGATGTGCCAGCTGATCTCAGTCTGCATTGGTGCAATGTGTATATTCAGTAGCTACCTGGTGGCAAATGATTAAGAGAATAACACTGTCTAGGCTTACCTGCAGTGGCATGGGCAGTAAAGTGGCATATCTAAGTTCACAAGTTTGTTAGCATTGTCCTGAAAAAAAAAAATTACGTCCAAAAGTGTAAATTATAATAATACATTAATCATGCTCTCAAAATATGTTTATAGGGACCAATGTGTAACTTTAGCAGGAGTCAAATTTTAGCAAAAACAAAATTAAGTATTTTCCTAATATTATCTTGTGTTTGGCCAACTTTGTAAAATCATATGTTGACTTCAAAGGTTATTTCAGTTACAAGCAGCACCATAGCAGAACCATAAGCTAGTATGATTTATTATAACAGCAACTAATTTATTATTTCAATTTACAAATCATTTCCCAGATATACAGATAGGTTTTATTTAAAATAAGATGGCAATATTATTCAAGGAAATAGAAATTCGAGGTGCATTGTGTTGAAATGCAATATACAGTGACACTCGACTTTACAGGCACTCCAGTTACAGTTCAGAACTTTTCACTATTAAGGGGAGAAGCTGTGTAAGCACCCGCATAGCTCAGTTGGTAGAGCTGTGGAATGGTATTCCTATGGTCCCAGATTCGAGTCCCAGTCAGGCTGCATATTTTTCTCTCCCTGTGACACTCCACTTCAAAGAACACCCTCTATTCAGGGTAATTTGTTTTCATAAGAAAACAAATCACCACTCTTGACACCCCACTATTCTGGGTATTTAAAAGTTGTAAAGAACATAAAAGTTAGTAGTCAAAATATTTAATAAGAAAATGGTTCACTTCTCCCTGCACCCTGCTATTCCTATACTATGACCATCTTTCATAGAACAGAAATTGAATTTCCTACTAAAATCACCTCCGTACATAACTTTCCTATCTGTTTCTTGTTGTTGTTTTTTTCAGCAATCTTTATTCATTACACAGAAATATATTTGCTTTAACCACATACCTTTACAGTGCTGGTACTGGAAACTTTGATGATTTTTTCAGGACCACTACAGAAGAACCTGTGACCTCGAGGGCATTCATATTCCTCCCCTATATACACTCGCAGATTAACCTCTGTTAGTTCTACAAATAAAACACAAATACGCTACAGGCATAATAGAAAAAAAAATATTATTCCAACATAAAAATACTTTTTTGTTAATCTCACAGAATTATATGAAATGTGATAATGCTATATCAAACTTATTCAAAGTTTAATAATAACCAAAAATGTTTTGACTCACAGTGAAATATTATTAAGTCACACTACTGAGTAAAAACATCATGTAGAACTCTTTTTAAAATTTTTCCCATGAAATCCCTTAAACTTAAGAATGGATGGTTCATAATTTAAAACTGGCGGGGAAATTATTTTACAAATTTGATCATTAGAAATGGTTTAAGCCTTATTATGATTTAAGTTATAAATGTAGAGATGGTACAAAAAACCTTGGGTGTCAGAAAATTGTTTCTCATTTTTTGTTTTCTATACTGAAACTATTTTGTGCAAAGACCATGCATTACCTTTCTACCATTCATTGATATAAATTGAATCTGATATCATAAACATAGTAATAGCTGTTAGTTACCTTTCCCTCTTGTTCCTTTCTTCTGTTTTCCTTTCTTGCCTGTAGTTTCTCCTACTGTGGGCCATTTATCTCTCTCTGCTTGTACGGTTATATCCCAGGGTAACAAAAAATTACTTCCACTTAAAAACCCTGGAAGGTCTAAACCTGTAAAATATATTATATAGATAGTAATGATAAAATCAAAAAGAGAGTGTACTAAGTAGTTTATCATATAAATTACAAATTTGAGGTGTAAACATTTTCTACAAGCCAATACCTAATAACCTTTTACATAATTATACAGTATAACTTCTAAGTGTCAAACTTTGATTAGCCAATTTTCTCAATGTGTTGAAGTAAAATGAAAGTTCCAATTTTTTCTCCTATAATTTTTTTTAAACCTATAAATGTATATCATTTAAATTTTTATGTGTTGATTTTTTCACTGTGTCAAAGTTTTTACGTGATTTGTAAAGGATAATTCAAAACCATTTTACCATAAATAAGCCATAAATCCATTTATTACTTCCTATGTATGAGAATGAAATTTAATTGTTATCATTCAGTCATAATTTGAAAATAAATAGCACAAATTAGTTTCATTAATTTTGAGATCTGCCTGATTACCACCTGGGATATATTTACTAGCTTAGGTTATGTTATAACTCTTTCCTCTCATTACACCTTTTTTGTACACCAACTATTAACATCAATGGCTCAAAAGTTTATTTAATAGAGACTGATTCATGAGTCGAAGTCCAGTTGGGTCAAAGTTTTTAGCAACACCCTTCAACTTCGACTTACCGAAGTTCTAATGTATTTTATTAATCAACAGTATGCCATCCCTGAGAATCAAAATGTAACATAATCCCACTTAAGGGGTAGAAAAATCAGATTATAGATAATGGTAATTGTATTTACAATGCCACTTACCTTGTGTATGATTATAAAGACTAGATTTTCCAAGACAAACCAGCGACCAGGATGGAAACTTAGGTAGAAGCCCCACTGGTGACTCTGTATGGATCATTCCAGGCAAATATTCTGTTGTAGAATGCTGTCTTAGAGGGGCCGGGCTTACTGTAATAAAACAAGATCATGATAATTTCACAAATCTTTGCCGTACCATAACCTTTTGCATATTCATATGCATTTAAGTTACCTTTAAATACAGGTTACGAAAAACCCGAGAAACATTTCCAGCAAATATACTCTTCAAGATTATATAAAATTTATCAAACTCATCTGAGATAGTAAATTCACTAAAAATACCATCCAAGAAAAAATTCTTCTTTCATGAAGTGTGAACAAACCATTAGTTGATCAACATTATGTACCTCAAAATGAAGACCATTGACTGTTTTTATCCGGCAATGCCAGACATGAGTAAAAATCTCCAGGCCAAAATTTTCAAAATCATCTTAATTTTATATCAATCTGCTGTACCATAATGCTTTCTTTAATTTATGCTGGCTATAAAACTGGGAAATATGTTATTTTCAATGGGGAGATAACTCTTCAAATATATTTAAATAAAACCTAACAAAACATTCACTTACATGGAGAAGATGGAGAATGAGCTTCTGGCTGATCCGGATTAGGTGTTGCAGCATCATCTTGATCAGGTAGAGGGCTGCAATTACTCTGTCCACCATGTGCAAACAAATCACTCCCACCAGACTGACCTGCATATTTTAAATAATCATCATGATAAAATAATTAAAAAATAAGTATGATGTTTTAATATCAATATAATCAAGGTTTTCCTTTTTATCTGAGGCAACAGATGTGCCACCAAAAACAACCAAGGGGTATATATAAATCTACAGGCTGAAAAAAACCCAGCCGATTTAAACAGCTTTTCAACCGATATGGATTGTCAATCTGTTAATAATGAAACCTTGTAAAATATGTAAATACTGCACTTTTTTGCATAAAAAAAATTACAGAATTAATAAAGTCAAGTTGTTCTGTTTTTTTACTTACTTCATTCCATTTATAGATAGTTATGCTTTCAAATCTTGTTAAAGTGACATTTATGCCCATCTAAGTGTAAATTGTGGGTGTAATTGTAAAAATAACTTTACATTTTGCCATAATTGTAAACAATTTTATATTCTTATTTGTAAAAATAATAAAATAAACTAGAGCTATCACTGAAGGTGATTAATACCCCCACAAGTAACTTTGAATTTTTAAAAATAAGTGGCCTGAAGAAAAATTTGAACTCAGCCTGTAGTAAATAAAGTATCAACCGTATACAAAGAATTATTTCAATTAATTGCAATACCAATAAAGGTATTCATATAAGCTTGCTATACACCAAGTTTGATTACAGTATCTCATTCCTTACTATAGTTACTTTCCGGAAACAGTTTTACTAATATATAATGCTGAGTTTCAATAAGAAGTTTGATATTGAAATTACTGTAATCAATAATATTACTTCCAAAACTCAAATGATGAATACCATTTTACTCAGGAAAAAATATATTTTAGTTTTAAATTAATAATATTTTATTGTAAAAAAGAAATTAACACAATTAGCCATTTCACAATTTTACATAATTACATAATCGTAAATGTACAAACAAAACAGGTTGGGCAAAAAGTCAACATTACTGGGGCTCATCCCCTAAAATTTCAAAACTGGTCTGTCACACAACAAATAAATAACTAAAAAACAAAACATTATTAACACTTACCAATGATGTATAGATAAAACAATTATTAACCAAACAGTAAACATCAATGTTAAACAAAAACAATGTATAGTTACATGAAGATGGGAAGGACATATCTAAAACGAAGGGTTGAAATAACATACTACAAGTGCTGCAATGTTCAATTATTACTAAACAAATTTATCTTTAAAATTTGAAAACTGGATTGTGAATAATTGTCTTATGAAGTTATTAATTTTCTATCACTCAAGAATATTAAGAATCTTTTAATATACGTTATTTAGAACTCAGTAAATGTGTTTATTTTGCAGCTTATTCCCCAGTACAAACAAACTTTTACCGTTATAGCTTCATGGTGCAATTCCGGTCACAATAGATTAGTCAACCGGTTTCCACTTATTTTCAAAGCTGTAACTCTAAAAGTTTGTTTGTACCCCTTGATTAGCTGGGAAAAGCCCAAAATATTCTTAATTCCACGAGTATGTTTTTTTGAAAACTGGACTGAGAATAATTGATTTATAAAGATAATGATTTTCTATCACTCAAGAGTATTAAGATTGTTTTTCTCAATCTTAATAATAATGATTTCATTAAATTCAATAAAAAAAAAAACCTCCACAAAAATGTATTGTTTAAACATAAATAACCCAATATAAAATCTGTTTATAAATATCAGTCTGTGAAATTTACAGAATTCTGACCTTTTAAAAAATCTAGGCCAAATTTAGGTCAATTAGGAGTCAAGGTCATATCTCTGTCAAATCATAAAACAAATATATTTAAGTCAAGTTTAAGTCTGTCTGATGAAAGAAAGTGAGTGACAGACACATGTAGGTCAAAAACAATTATCTCCCTTTTTACTGAACACTATTATGTTAAATCAACACCAATGTTTCCAAAGAAAACCCAAAAAACTGTCTTACCTAGACTCAATGCCAGGCTGAGACTGGCCATGCCTTGAGTTACACCAGCCACCTCTCCTTTACCTGCACTAGAGACTGATTCCTTCTGAAGTTTGGGTGGCTGAGCCTTAGACCTAACCGGCGGGGTTAGTAATGCTGCCCGTATGTCGGTACTGCTGGCTTGAAACACAGGGAATTCATAACGCTCTAACTTTCCGCAACACATTTCCTCCAGTTTTACATAGAAATCATAGTTGGCCGCCTAGAATATATTAATTCAAGCCTGTAAACTATGACCAAAAATGTCTTGAAATTGAATTTGGCATAAAATCAGAAAAAGTAGACTAAACTTGTTACATGATACAATTTTTTCCACAACACAATAATTTTCTGTATTTACATTTGCAATAATAATGCATTATTAATAGCGAGCTCGACGAGCTGGCCCGAAGGGCCTGCTCGCAAAGCGAGCTTTACGGTAACGCGAGTACCTGCTAAGTGATGGTTTTGAAAACTTTCGTCCGAAGTACTGAATTGGACACATCGCAACTTTTGAATTTAAAGATAACGATAAAAACTGAGGACTTCTGACTGAAAAAGGATGTGTAGACTGGTCACCCGCGCACGTCTAAAGGAACCATAATTGGACAGGGAACCAGAACAACGGAAGCTGTGTATAAAATAACGAATGACAGTTTTAAAACGGAAAATGTAAAATGAAAATTGAAGGCGCCATTTTGTTTGAAAAATCTGATAAATAAAAACAGTTTTTTGTCGAATTTTGTTGTGAAAACTATCTAGAATAAAAGAAAATGGTCTAACTAAGAAAATGAATCCGAACACCAATATCTTTTATTCAGTCGTTAACGCTGTACAGACTTTTAAAGTATTGTTTACGTGACGTCACAATGTAGCGCCAAACAGCACGTGCAAAACAATCAAATCAAGTACGCTTTTTTAATGTCGCAAACGTTTTAAATTTAACATTTATTTCACTTTTAATAAACTTTATTTCGCTTGAAAAATTATAGAGTGAAATAAAATAAACAAACAAAGTTTTATCAACGTTTCCAAAACTCGTTATTAATTTAACGACAGGGGCGGAGCCATATTTAACACAGTACGTGTGACGTCACACGCACTGATCACTGCATTTGAAATAAAAATGAGCAATTATTTCATACTATTTGACCTTAAAAGTACATTGAGCTCGCTTTGAGGCTTTGCCTTTTTCATATTATATCATAAATGTCATCATCAATTACCTGAGTAAAAGCAAACAGTTTGGCCGATGAATATGGAGTCTGCCTATTAAACCAAGGGATCATGGGTTTAAGCCCTTTTTAGGTTGCATCCATGTGTGCTTAAATGACACCAGAAATAAATATTTCCAGAGATAGGCATGGAAGTGGTCCTAATCATAAGTACACAATCCAGATGAAATAAATATGTTTAAATTTGACAGTTTGTTCTCAATTTTTTTGGTCGGTTTAACATTACACTAACACTGTAAAGGTGTATCACAACTTTTCAGCTTTATTGGTGGAGGAAGACCTCAGGCACCTGTGCCTCAGGCACCATCGATGTTCCGTAAGCAAGCAGGATAGCTTTATAACATGAAACAAGAGGGCCATGATGGCCCTGAGGTCGCTCACCTGTATATAGGCACCCCCATCCCCGGGCCAATTTTTACCCAAGGGCTTTTATTTGTTTATTTGAACAGACTTGGTAGACACCCATAAGAAGATGTTTCATGCTAAACATCTAAGTTCTAGCTCATTGGCTTTTTTAAAAGAAGATTTTTAAAGTTTTAACTATACACATTTAGTTAAAAACAATGACACCCCTGGAGCAGGGCCAGTTTTGACCCCCTGGCGTTTATTTTAACAAACTTTGTAGATATTTACTTAAAGATGTTTCATGCTTAATATCTAAACTCTAGCTATTTGGGTTTTTCCAAAGAAGATTTTTAACTATTTGCTATACACATATAAGGAAAAAATCAATGACCCCCCCAGGGCTTTTATTTGAACATACTTGGTAGACACCCATTAGAACATGTTTCATGCTAAATATCTTAGTTAGCTCTTTGGGTTCTTTAAAAGAAGATTTTTTAAGTTTTTACTATATGCATATAGGGAAAATCTATGACCCCCTGGGGCGGGGTCAATTTTGACCCCAGGGCTTGTATTTGAACAAACTTGGTAGACATTCACTAGAAGATGTTTCATGCCAACTATCTAAGCTCTAGCTCTTATGGTTCTTTAAAAAAAGATTTTTACTATATGCATATAGGGAAAATCAATGACCCCCGGGGTGGGCCAAATATTGACCCCAGGGCTTTAATTTGAACAAACTTGGTAGACACTCACTAGAAGATGTTTCATGCTTAATATCTTAGCTCTAGCTCTTTGGGTTCTTTAAAAGAAGATTTTTTAAGTTTTTACTATATGCATATAGGGAAAATCAATGACCCCCATGGGCGGGGCCAATTTAGACCCCAGGGCTTTTATTTGAACACACTTGGTAGACACTAACTAGAAGATGTTTCATGCCCAATATCTTAGCTCTAGCTCTTTGGGTTCTTTAAAAGAAGATTTTTTAAGTTTTTACTATATGCATTTAGGGAAAATCAATGCCCCCCTGGGGCGGGGCCAATTTTGACCCCAGGGCTTTTATTTGAACAAACTTGGTAGACACTCACTAGAAGATGTTTCATGCCAAATATCTAAGCTCTAGCTCTTATGGTTTTTTAAAAGAAGATATTTAAAGTTTTTTCTTTTGGTTGCCATGGCAACCAGAGTTCTGCATGGAATTAAATTATTTGAACAATTTTTAAAGGTGACCACCAAAGGAACATTCCTGTGAAGTTTGGATGAAATTGGCTCAATGGTTTATGAGGAGATGTCATTTAAAGCAAAAGTTTACGGACGGACGACGGCCGGACGCCGGACGAAAAGCGATCACAAAAGCTCACCCTGTCACTTTGTGACAGGTGAGCTAAAAATACAAGGAATACAAAATCCCTGGCAACCTGTGGAGAACCACCAATGTTCCTTAAGCTAGCAGGATAGCTTCCTCACATGAAAAAATACAAAATCTCTGCCGAGATTCAAGCTCAAAACGGTGAGTGACAAGTGGTTTGAACATAACCACCTAAACAACTTGGATACAGATGTCCCTCTTGTTCTCAGATATACATACACCACATTACTTTGACAGGGGAAAATACAATGTATCTACCTTGTGATTAAATGGATCTTCTTTATCAGCTTGTTTTTTCCCACAATTACAAGCGGCTTTCATCTTGAGTTGACTAGAATGTGGCATCAATGGAAGGTGTGAGTTACTCTCAGTGTCTATCTCATCCTCTGTCTTATGTAACTGTAATAAAATCTTGCTTTAATACTAATACACTTTGGTTTTTATTGCAGGGGTGTGGAAATCCTATGCCCGACTTGTCCGACTCAGGATAAGTAGGTTTTTTTCATAGAACTTGCCTGTTAACAACACAAGGGGTGAAAGCAATACGTTCTAAGTGCATTTTCCAAAATTTTACAGGAGAAGCAAAAAACTGTCTCAAATGTTTGTAAAATAGCAAATATCCGCAACACTTTGATTTTACACATAGAAATGTTTAAGAAAGTGAAAATCTGAGCCTGTGGAAAAAACAAAATATTGGTATTCTATCTCTAATCCATTGGGAACTCAGGATAAGTTATGAAATCTTATTCAACTTTTGAAATGTTTGCTTTCAATATTGCCATAGTTAATTAGTTATATAGTTTTTGCCGTAGTTTGTTATATAGATTCACAACAATACTAGATATACGTACTGGATTAACACAATGATTGCCCGTCAGACTGATTTCCTCACAGAGTTGTCTCCCATTTTTCCAGAATCTCTCACACGAGTCTTCCAGCTGTTTCATGTATTTATCACAGGCAGGACCTCTAGCAAACTGACTGAACACTTTCTTAGCTTGTGCTAACTGTAACCAAAGTGAGGCATTGATATAACCATTACTGCATAAGAAAATCAACAAAGCCTTGGCTTTTGTAATCTTTCCAATCATGTTTTTTTTTGTTTTTTTTCCATGGGGAAGAGGAACTTTCCTTATAGTTAGGAGAAAAAAAAAACAACAAGTTTTTAATTCAGAAAAGGGAAAAAATTTGAAGTAAAGTGAATTTTAGAGGAAAACTGCATGATTGAAAAAAAAAATTTCTGAGGTAAAATAATGTACAACATGTATAGTAAACAGTCTATATATAACTAAACAATGATTTTTCTTGAAAAAGCAGAACAAATTCAACAAAAACTTTCCTTTTTTACTGAATGAGGTTAAAGATTTTTAACTTCACCATCAGCAACGACCGTGCATGACAAATTACTGAAAGTACGACGGAAATATAGTTGCGCCAATTATACAGGTTGCGCCAATTATACAGAGTTAAAAATTACATTGTCATCATGTATCTTTAACTTTTTTTGGTTTTGTAAGTTTGTTGGTTTTTATTGTTCCCTAATAAAACTATCCATGTACTGTAATCAAGGGAAACAAACCTTGCTAAGATGGTAGTTAGTGACATAATGAGTGGGTAAATTTTCCTGATAGGAACTTTCTGCTACTGGTAATACCTTGTTACACCGACTGAAATATTGAAAATCAACATGTTAAGAACTGCTTTAAAATTCATATACATATAGTGTGTTTATTCCAGTACTTGGTATTTGTTTTACCCCCTCCTAATCTAACTTTGGTGTTGGATTTCAAGTTACACTGACACTGGTGATATGGTGACATTCTAACTAAAAGGCCCATAATGCCTCAAAACTGGTTTTATTTTTATTTCTCAAAAACGTTTTGATTTTGATATACTTTTTATAGTACTAGTATCCATAAAGTTACTCATTGGCCAATTACCAGAACCATATCTGTTGCTTTTTGGCAATAATTACACTTATAGTGAACATAAGTATGTTGTATGGAAGTGAAAATACTACTTTGTTTATATTTTGCTACTTTTATGACAAATTATTCCACTTATCGCCAGTTTCTTCATGTAACAAACCTCTAACATTCTCTAAAACCGTTACTTAAACATTAAAATGTATATAAATTTATTGGTATTCTGAGGCATAATGTACCTTTAAAAGTGATAATGTGTTTGCTATTGTTTCAAGTCACATCAATATTGATAGGATCATATGGCCAGATTTTATCCTTAACTGGTGACGACCTCAATATTTCAGTCATGGGCACGAACCTTGCCACCTCTACCAGACACACACCCTACCCTATGCCTTATGTAAATAATAATCTTGTTGCAAACCTTGTTTACTATAGATATTAGAAGGTATGAAGGGTATATTAGACGTCAGGTACCTGTGCCTTGGTAGAACTGTAATAATTTTGACCTACACATAGCTGAACTTCTTCATCAAAAGAAACAAATACTCATTCCTGACTAGTTTTGAATCCAAAGCAATAAAGAAAGGAGAATTGAATCTGTCATGGAGGTCCTATATAGATTAGTTTATACAATTCTATTTTAGTATGATTGTGTAGGAAGCTATAAGCAAATTAAAAGTCCTATTGTTGGTCATAAATGCTAGGAAACACTAAGGATTCCTATGAAACACAGTCCAGATTTATGATAAAGGTAAGTTAACATACTTCTCTGAGAATCGAAGATCTGTTTCAAGAAGAGATCGGAGTGTATTGCAGTGTGGCTGGAGTTTAGGATCTAGCTTCTCTGAGAATAACATAAGATATAATTTGTTTGCCAAGGTAAACCATGTCTCACTTGTAGCAAGCTGTATTTGGGAAGAAAACAAAATGTTAGCACATTTAACACATTTGAAAATATTTTGGTCGCAATTTCTTAATTATCTCTTATTCATGTGTTTACTTGCTTCTTGATATTGAATTTTTTTTTAAACATTAATCAGTTGTTATTAAATCTAGAAGTTATGCTTTACTGTTGAACATAATCTATTAAGCTATGTAGACATACTGACTTATTGACGACAGTAAGTGAGTTAACATTTACATTCATGCATGTGCTTGAGTGTGTATGTGTGTTTAGGTTATCTACCCTAGCTAGCCACTAGCTAGCCACTGAAATAAACAATATGGCTAGACAAACCTTAAGTTTAATTCTACAATTAACAAATTATCCCTGTTAACAAACTTACCTCAAAGGTTGCAGTGACTGGGTGCCGTCCGACATTATCATCAAAACCTTTTGTCAGTGCCATATCAATATGTTGCCATATAAACTCCTTAAAACTAAACTCTCCTCCATTTCTGGAGAGTCCTTGTGACCTCGACCTGTCTATACCACCTTGACCTCTTCTATTTGATTGATAACTTTTCCTTGGCAGATCTGAATCTGTGTAAACAAGATATGTTTGTAAAACATGTATGCCCCCTATCGGCAGCCAATTAGTCATATGATCAGGTTATTATGCATGACTTCTGACCCAGTGAACAAACAATTAATAAGGGTTATGTAGTCTCTACAGGTCAAGACTAGTCACAAGGTAATAATTATTGTGACCCCATAGGTTGTGTGCAGCAATTTAAGTCATTACAAATCTTACAAATAATATAATTTTATTATGCATAAATTTTATGAATCATGTAGGCCTCATTAATGACAGCCAAGTTGTTATATTACATAAGACCTTCAAATGTGTATACCAAAAGCATTTTTAGTTTAATATAAAAATATCAACCAAGGCAACAAATCATCATTAAGTACAAGGTCAATATGACATTGACCCCTTGACCCCAAAATCCATAGGGGTCATCTACTGGTCATGACCAATCATCATACCAAGTTTGAAGTTCCTAGGCTTAAGCATTCTTTAGTTATTGACCAGAGAAAGTTTTTACCTACAAGGTAAACATGACCTTGACCTTTGACCCTTGATCCAAAAATGAATAGGGGTCATCTGCTGGTCATGACCAATCATCATACCAAGTTTGAAGTTTCTAAGCGTTCTTAAGTTATTGATTGGAAACTGTTTTCACCTACAAGGTCAATGTGACCCTAACATTTGACCCCTAAATCAATAGGGGTCATCTGCTGGTCATGACCAATCACCATACCAAGTTTGAAGTTCCTAGGCCTAAGCATTCAGTAGTTCTTGATCGGAAACCGTTTTTACCTACAAGGTCAATGTGACCTTGACCTTTGACCCCTTGACCCCAAAATCAATATGGGTTGTCTGCTGGTCATGACCAATCACCATACAAAGTTTGAAGTTCCTAGGCCTAAGCGATCTTAAGTTATTGATCGGAAACCATTTTTACCTACAGGGTCAATGTGACCTTGACCTTTGACCCCTTGACCCCAAAATCAATAGGGGTTGTCTGCTGGACATGACTAATCACCATACCAAGTTTGAAGTTCCTAGGCATAAGCGTTCTTTAGTTATTGATCGGAAACCATTTTTACCTACAAGGTCAATGTGACCTTGACCCCTTGACCCCCAAAATCAATAGGGGTCCTCTGCTGGTCATGACCAATCATCATACCAAGTTTGAAGTTCCTAGGCCTAAGAGTTCTTTAGTTATTGATCGGAAACTGTTTTTACCTACAAGGCCAATGTGACCTTGACCTTTGACCCCTTGACCCCAAAATCAATAGGGGTCATCTGCTGGTCATGACCAATCACCATACCAAGTTTCAAGTTCCTAGGCTTAAGCATTCTATAGTTATTGATCGGAAACCGTTTTTACCTACAAGGCCAATTTGACCTTGACCTTTGACCCCTTGACCCCAAAATCAATAGGGGTCCTCTGCTGGTCATGATCAATCACCACACCAAGTTTGAAGTTCCTAGGCCTTAGCGTTCTTTAGTTATCACTCAGAAACCATTTGGTCTACGGACCGACGGACTGACAAGTGCAAAGCAATATACTCTTCTTTGAAGTGGGGGCATAATGAAGAGAAGAAATTTTTTAAATTAACACCTCCAAATGAGCAAATTAAGTTTCAAAACTGGAATTTCAAAATGTTACAATATTCATGTACATTTTAATATTCTACTTGTTTCATGTAAATTAAAAGCTAGCTGGATAGCTTCCTCATGTGAAAGAAGCCAAAACCCCTGTCAGAATTTAAACCCACAGCAGTGACGAGGGAGTGATTTGAAGTCCACAACCTTTACCATTATTTACTGTTTGATATTGAAAGCTATGAAAGAAAGTCAACATAAACGGTGCTGACTGGCACAGATGTTCTACATTGTATATATAGCACAACATTTATAATTTACCTGCATCATGCTGTAATGTATTTTCTCTGATCTGCTGCAGGAAAAATGAAACTGGGTCAGCAGCCTCATTCTGGTACACATGAATAAATACAAACTCCTGATTGGCTGGCACAGCAAATAGTGAATTGTTACTATAAATAGATTGAAAACTTACAAAGAAACAGCATCAGAGATATTAAGGTATGACACACCCATCATTTATTTAACTAATAAAAATATTGCATATTTCATCACCTTCAGTTGAGTGTGTGCATATACTGCATATACATGTGGCAGAGAGATTAACACTTTTATACATGCATAAAACTTGCCCTATAAGCACCGAATAACAGTTAATATTAATACTGATCGATAAATTGCAAATGCCCATCATATAGAGAAATGTAGTCCCTGTAGGGCATGGCATTCCATTCAACTTTTCATTGCTCCAAAGTTCTTATAAATTCAGAAGAAAAAATCAAGGAAAATATTGACTTAACTTATGTTTATATGTATATATTTAGGTACCTGATATTGGTAATTACTCTGGATTTTCTCAGGATCTTGTATATCTGATCCTCCATACAGTGCTGCAGCCTTTTGATTGGATGTATTCTCTGAAAACAACAACAATACAATAAGATAAGACATATTTTCAGGTTATAAAAGATCACTGGATCAAAGCAAAATAGGTCTTAGTTCTGGTTGGGTTTGAAGTGAAGATGTCCATACAGTTTTCTATCAACTTCCCAACTGAACTGGTGGGTAAAGATACTGTATACTATTACAATTGTGTTTCTTAGTAAAGCTGTCTCTAATAAGGGTGTAAAAGTGGTCAGTGAAATAAGAAGCAACTACTTTGCGTTGTGTCTAAAATGATAATGTTTATTAACGGTAAAATAACAATGCAACGGAAATGACGTCATATGAACTCTTCTTCCCGCCAACGTAACGTTGTCTGCCTGCCGTTCCCGCTAACGTAACGTCATCTTTACGACATCCTCCCAGGCGCAAATATATGGTAACTGTTACATAGTCTCAAGGGGGTACAGCTTTACAATTGGTCTTGATGTAGCTGTACCCGTTACTGGTGCGAACCATGGCCGCTCGTGTCAATCCATCTTTACCAGTGATCAATTGTTCAATAGTTCCTAATTTCCACTGTGATTTCGGGGTTTCATCATGAATAATTACTACATCACCGACCTTAATCGTTTGTATATTATTTTCCGAAGTTTTGTGATACTGGCATAATGACGTCAAGTACTCGTGGCGCCATCTATCCCGGAAATGGCTAATGATCTGTGACTGCATTCTCGCTTGTTTGGTGATCCCATCTCTTGAAACTGGTTTTGGTTCGGATATATCTTCATTGTAAGGCAGGGCTGTCAAACGCCGTCCGTATAGCAAATGAGCTGGTGTAATTGGTTCTGGATCGGTTGACTCTGACGTAACGTAAGTCAACGGACGGTCGTTCATGACATTTTCTACCTCTGTTACGATTGTTTGGAGAGTATCATAAGTGACGTATGCATTACCAAGAACCCTTTTGATAGCTGTTTTGGTAAGACCGATTAATCTTTCCCACCAACCACCAAACCAGGGAGCGCGCTTGGGAATAAATCTCCACTCTGTACCATGGTTGTGTAACGCGTCTTTTACGGAAGTAGAATTCATTAATTGGCGTATTGTATTTGCTGCTGCTTGAAAAGTTGTTCCGTTATCAGATATCATAACCTTCGGTAGAGATTTTCTGCTACTGAATCGCCTAAACGCTTGTAAAAATGAAGATTCAGTCATATCTGAGACTACTTCTAGATGAACAGCTCTGGTCGAAGCACAAGTAAAAAGACAAATGTATGCCTTCTCATTTTTGTTATTTCCTCGTACATGTAAAGCTCCAGTGAAATCAACTCCAGTCACAGTAAAAGGATGTGTATCTTGAACTCGTATCTTTGGCAAAGGTGGTGGATCTGGTGCTGTGTACGGTCTTCCTGACACTCGGCGACACTGGTTACACTTCCGGAGTAATTTCTGAATACACTGGCGTATCGATGGAATCCAATATTTCTGACGTATATGGGTAATAAGTGCACTCGTACCTGCGTGGAAGTGTCTTTCATGGGCGTCTATAATTACAAGTTTCGTCAGTTGGTGGTTTGCCGGAAGCAGGTATGGGAATCGGGTTTGCTCAGCTAAAGGGGCGTTATGAATCCTACCACCACAGCGAATGAAGCCATTATTGTCAAGGTATAATTGTAGTTACCTAACAAGCGTTAGGTTTCTCCTTCCGGTCTTGATACATGTAATCTCAGCGCTATAGGTGGTTGCTTGGCAATTATGAAGCCACAACTTCTCTGCATCTGCAAGTTCTTTTACAGTTAACGTCAGAGTTGACGTATTATCGGAAGTTCTTGCAGATCGGCAATGTTGAATGAATCTCATCATATAGGCTGTCACCCTAAGAAGCTTTCTGTAACGGCTTAATCTGTTGATATCAATGACATTGTGAATTCCGTAGGTTGTCATGGTAACAAGTGTATCATCTTGTTCTTCTGCGAGTAAAACAGTTGTTACAACAGCTGGCTGGCTCGGGTACCGACTTTCATCAGTTAACCAATCAGGACCTTTCTCCCATAATCTACTCTTCAGAAATTCAGTAGCTGTAATTCCTCTTGTCAACATGTCAGCCGGATTGTGATCGGTTGGACAGTACATCCACCTTCTGTTCTCTGTAAGATTGTGTATTTCAGTCACTCTATTCTGTTCAAATGTTTTCAACTTTCGGTTGGATGACAGCCAGTGTAGAACAATTTGACTGTCAGACCACATGTGTACGGATGCTGTAGGTATCGTCTGTTGTACGTGCTGCAGAAGTCTTGAACCTATCACTGCAGCCATAAGTTCAAGCCTTGGTAATGTCAGAAGCTTCAAAGGTGCGACACGTGTCCTTGATATAACACGTGCAGACTGGTCACCACGTGTAATGTATATTTACTGATCCATAGGCCTTAAGGCTGGCGTCACAAAAACACATGAAGATGAATATCTGAGGATGCGCTGGCAGCACTGTCGCCTATACCGGAAGTAAATGCCAAAGAGTCAGTTTTCCTTGAAGTAACTTCTTCGGGTATCTGGGTAGGGATTACACTGTTTAAGTCTTTAGCAAAGTTATACCATTGGGTCTGTAGGTCATCTGGTAGGGACATGTCCCACTCGAACTTTTGCTGCCAAATATCTTGAAGTAGGATTTTTGCACGAATTGTGAGTGGGGTCAGGAAGCCAAGGGGGTCATAAATCTTCGCTGTTTTCCTTGAGTATGACACGTTTTGTCATAAATTGGGAAGTAGAAATGGTCTTCTGTGCTAAGAAAATCTGGTCTGATATCAGGTCCCATTTCATTCCAAAGATGCTAGTTATTTTCTTCAGTCTCGGCTACTTCTTCCGCTTCCGCCTTTAGGCTGCGCAGAGAACTGTTGTTGTAGAGCTCCAGGACCGTAAGTTAAAAACCAGCAGATGTCATCAATTTGCTGTGTGTTCTGGAAAGTAGTGTCAAGTAGAGTACTCTCGTCAGAAAAGCTAGAACATTACGTTTCAACATTATAAGTCTTTTAAGTATTGCACTCACCCCCAATTATGATCATTGGCACTCATATGCTTGGTAAAAAGTGCATGAAGTATAAATGGGTGAACATGTGGCACCAAAAAGCACGGACTTGAATCTGTATGTTGTAAGGTCACTATTTGGATCATAAATGTCGTTCAACCATAGAAATCGTGTGACGTCAACGATCATTTTCGTTGAGTTGTATTTGAAGAAAAAGCCTTTTCTCAATATCTGTGCAGACGGCAATATCTGTGCTTTCTAAAAGTTCACTAAAATACTCGTCAATTCGTTGATACTTGAGGAGGGGTTGATTCAAGGCAATCATTTAAGACTCGGTGAATTTTTGTTTTTGACGACAACTACAGTCAAACACAATACGGATAGGGGTGGTGGCCGAATGTTTTCTTAACTCCGTGATGTGGGATATAGTGTACGGGACGCTCACTTGATAAAACATTCACTTTTCTCTATAAATCCTCTTTTTTCCTGGTCTTTAATTATGCCATCGTACTTTTGTAGTAAAGGGGGGTCTTCACGTAATCGTCGTATGGTGTTCTGAGTTCTTCTTAATGTGATGTTATAGTTGTCGGGTAAATTAGGGTGATCAGGTTTCCATTTGGCAACGAAGCAGTATACTTGCCATTTTCAAAGGTAATGCAGTTCTTCTGATAATTATGCAAGTAGTCAGAAGCCTTTTCTTCTGCTACGGGTAAAATGCCGATGGATTCTAATTTCCCAGAATCGCCCTCAAGATCATCATAATCTGGTGCAGATGTAATATATATTCATAATGTAGTTCGCAGCTGTTACTTGATGACGTCACCGGAAGTTGGTCCGGACAGAAGAAAAACAATCTTTGACTGGACAGCTGTCGGGTCCGTCGCCTCCGTATAATACGGTCTCCAAAGATCTCCCAATATCTAATCCGCTCCAATTAGTAATGATATGTTGAATGTTGTCAACTTCCATGGTACTGGATGGGCTAGTTTCAAACCTCGTAAATATGGCAAAATGTGTGGCAGCTTGTATTTGGTTACGTAAAGGCACAGCAATTAGAAACGGCACAATTTAATACATTCGATTTTGGCAATTTTTTCTCTGAGTTTGTCGTTATCAGGTAAACTGTGGCGGGTTTCAAAATGGCCGACTTTTCTTGGACTCCGCCCCGAATGCAGCCAGATGGACAACTTCGGAACCCGCGTCCCTGTAATTGTAATGTTTCGGCGAGTTCATGCAGTTAATAAAATGAACGCTTGCGCTCCTTCGTCAAATAAAATGTTTGCTTTAGCACAGGCGTGACCGGAAGTAATCTCAGCAACAGCAGTCTTCAGTAAAACGTTGTTTCTACTTTGTGTTGCAGAATGTAGAATAGCCGATTGTGCACTGGAACCGGAAGTAAGATGCGTTGTTGCTTCACTACCGGAAGTAGGGACGAAACTTGGAGCCGATGTGTTCAGCGAGCTTCCGATACTCTGATCGCAAATGCTGGTATGGTGTTTCCGGTTGCATTTTCTACACCGGTGTTTTGAGCGACAGGAAGCAACAAGATGTTTGCCTAAACAGTTGAAACACATCCCGTCCCTAGATTTGCCACTAAAATGCCACCCTTTTCAATGGTGGAGTATTTAGACAATTTTCCACCAATAATGCCACCAAAACGCCACCCAAATCATGAAAATGGTGAAAAATTTGAGCAGGACTGATGTTATATAATTTTCCAGTTAATTCCACCTTTTTTACACTAAATGCCACCAATGAGTGGAAAATTGGTGGAGTATTTAGACAAACTTTCACCATAATGCCACCATTATGCCACCTTAGGGTGGCAAACTCATTTTCCACTAGATGCCACTTGTTTCCACTTATTGCCACCATAATGGTGGAAAATTGGTGGAGTATTTAGACAAATTTCCACCATTATGCCACCATTGAGTGGCAAACTTATTTTCCACCAAATGCCACTTATTTCCACCTTTTGCCACCATAAGGGTGGAAAATTGGTGGAGTATTTAGACACTTTCCCACCATTTTGCCACCAGATAGTGGCAAATTCAGTTTCCACTAAATGCCACCTATTTTCACCCTTTCAGAAATTTTCCACCTTGTGGGTGGCAATAGCTGGAAACTGCTTGAAAGTCACCCTACCCTGTACCCTAAATTGGAAAGAAACAAATTTTAAAAATAATCCTTTTTAATGTTTCCATATGAAATTATATATTGTCTCAAAAAATAGCAAAACATTAGTCCATTTATTTTCTTCAGTTTATCTTGCTATTCCTGGACGGTTTGAGTTCAGTCCTTTAGGTTGTCGGCAACTTTTCGAGCGCACAATCTAAAACAAAAAAAATTATGAATGATTAATACAATAATTAAAAACATAAGCTTACAATTTTATATGACTATTGGATATTTCTATATTCAATTTGAGTGCATAGATATGATTAAAACACTTTAAAAAACAGCACTGCAGACGTGGAAGAATAAGACTTTTCTTATTTACTCCAAGGCAGAAAATATACGCAGAATCAAAAATGATATTTTCATTCAGTTCATTAGTTACCTTCCAAGAACTTAAGTTTTGCCTTGTCTGCACAAGAAGGTCTGGCGTCAGACTCTCTGTTCCCTTTCCTCATACCAAACAATGAGCGGCCTTTAATCTCTTCTATATTGAATAGCATTCTGAAGAGCTTTGCTGTACCTTTCTCTTTTGAGGCATATGGCTTTAGTTCTGCCATCACTTGGTCCTAAAATATGATTAACAATATCAAATAAGTAAAGACAGAAAATGATTATCAATATCTAATATGTAAAGACAGAAAATGAAAAAACTTTTTATAAGACCTTGGTATATGTATACAACTCTAAAATTTTAAAATAAGAAAGAAATAAAGAAATACAACACATCAACACCAGTGCAGGTTGAGTAATTAATAATCTTCCAGTTTCAGTTCTTAACGAACCTTCATCAGGATAAATATTTGATAAAATTTTCAAGCTAAAATGTACAAAAACTCTAAAATTTGTAAAACAAAATGTAAATGCAAATTAAAGTGTCATAAAGAGTTTGAATTAAAGTAGGTTTGTAAATAGTGACTAATAGCTATATTTATCAAGAACTTATTGGGTACTGTGACACTTCTTTCCTATCAATTCTAAAATAACTTTGAATTAACAAGATACCTTTGTAAAGCCACTGAAGATCAAATGTGTTGCTCCAGGCTGCTCCTCATTGCTTTGTGTCTGCAAAATAATAATTCTTATTTAATGCTGTTTCTGTTATGAACTGTCATTCTCCTAATAGCATGTTACTCTAGACTGTCTAATTATGGTTATATAATTATCTACTGTACCATGAAAGCTGAATTACAACAATGAAGGAATGAAACTTACTAATAAATCAGTTACTGTTAATCTGCTCCACATGTGACACACAAGGAAAATTGTTTAAGGCATGAAAGTTGTAGTAATAGGTACCTCAGGTTATCTATTGTTTGATTGATGTAATATTGTACATAATGATATTGTACTTACTGATTAATTTCTATAATTTTTTTCTCAAACTTAAAATTTCTAACATATTGTATTTAAGAAATGATGAAGATCTTCCTACATTCTTTATATTCCTACATTCTTTATATGTACATTGTAAATGCAGCTTTCTTTTAAGTCAAGTTACAAACAAAACAAATATAAAACACAATTTTATACAATACCACTTCATATTTTTACTGTCAAAAAACTAAACAGTTTCTGCATAGATAACAATAATTATTGTATGTAAAAGTTGTTTACCTGAAACTTTGACTGGGAATGATTCTGCTGTTTATCTTCTTGTCTACACCCCAAACAAAAAAATACATCAACAAATTATATCAAAATTGTGAATAAATCTGGAATAAATCATGTTTTCCTGATTTGTTAATACAATTTGTTCATGATTGATTAAATGAATCATAAATAAATTGTGCTTTTACTGGAAAGAAAAGATCCCATTTATTATAGATTCATTACAAAAGACTGATTTATTAACCATTGATTACAAACATAAGATAAATTCAATACAATTTATTGCAAATTCATTACACTTGAACTGGAATGTATACAATTTATTCATGATTTATTGGAAATAGAACTTTTCCCGACTGCATTAATACCATTTATTACAAATTCATTACACTTTAAAGTTCTGAGATATTCACAAGTTGTTAATGATTCATTAAAATCAGAGATTTTCCAGGATTTATTCAATACAATTCATAACATATTCATTGTACTTCAGATGTTCATAATTTGCTTAATTATAACAGAAATTTTCATTGATGTAGGTCCTTTTGTTTTACTAACCCCTCTCAACTATACAAATATATATTTTTTTAATTTCCCTTTACTCATTACCGTACTTGTTTTTAATCAGTCACTGGAAAATATATATGGGTTTTTCAAGTCTCTTAGTTTAATTTAGCATCACCATATTATTAATTCCATGCTCAGCGCAAAACGTAAAAAAACAGTCAATTATACAATCTCGTTTTACTGTTAAATATGTTTAACTTATTTGCATGTAGATTTTATTTTTGAGTGATCATGCAATTTCTTATTGTTAATACGCAATCTGATCCATACCCACGGCTTTTTATGATTAGATCTATCATTATCAGTAAAAAAAATGTCGAATAGATTAACGTATATGCGTAAAAAGGTAAAATGTCGTAAAAAAAGCGACTTAATTCTCTCGGACTTAACATCTGTTATTAGTTAATTGTTTTGAACAGCATGGCTCCCAGCCGCGCGATTAAACGATAAGATCTTGCAGGGAACTGCAGCCAACCGTGCGCCCCCTATCAGCAGACAACAGAACAAGATTAATAGGAAACGAAATTTTTTTGCCATTTTAGAAAAAAGATATCTTACCATACAAACAGTTTTCTTTCATTTTGGATATAACTAATGTCAGACACAAACTAACTTACAACAGATTTTGTCATTGCAGCTGCAAAATTAGGAACTTTATACAATACTATAGTAGCTATAGGGATAACATTTCGTTTGCATTAATTCTATGCATAGGAAAAAGGCGGTCATTTTGGAAGATGAACACAAAAATATGGATAAAAAACAATATCAAGGCATCTAGACTACTGATAGATGGTATACTGATAGACGGTAAGTTCAAAATTTTCTTTTCGTTCTACATAGCGTTTTTTATAACCTTCTATAGATCTAGATCATGTGTAAGTTGGCAAAAAATAAAATTTACTGGAGTAATGTGCAGATTAGGATAACGATCGATTCGCCCCATAACGACTCGCCCCATTTTAGTGACGATTCGTCAACCCCCCCCCCCCCCCCCCCCCCCTAATGGCACCACCTTAAATTAAAACATTTTTTATTCATTTTATTTGGATTGAAAAATATTTATGATACAAGATACAAGTTTTAAAATATGCACGCATGTACATGCATTGTTTATGAGGATATCTATGTACAGCCCATTTTAAAAACATAAATCTGCATTGTTTCACACTGAGCTCATCTGCACATTTGAATGCGATAAAAAATGATGTTCTTTTTTATTTTAAGTGACTTCAGAAGACTATTTTTCTTTTACTTAGTTATCTCGCAGAAAACTGAAAAGAGCAGCAAAGAAAGGACAGAACGTAAAAATCAGCAACTCTGATGAGATGGTAAAAAGCAGATGAACGGGAGATAATAAAATGCAGATGGACGGCTTCTTTGATTGTGAAGAGTTTGCTATTAGTTATGGGACGAGGGCGTTCCAAGAAAATGACATACATGAGTCTTTGAAGCGTAAGTATAGGGCTACATATATATGAATCATTTTAAAAACGACAATGTGCTTTTTAAATATTAAGTACTAGTAAATGATAAAAAATAATACTTTTCAATCTGAATTTTGTTCATGTACATATTGTAATTCAATGTCATAGCCTTTCAATTTCGTTTAAAATTTAATTGAAGCAAATGGTAAAAAACTGGACTTGCTACAAAATATTTGTTCATTCCTCTGTTGAAAATGAAATCGAACATTCACCCGTTTGTTTTATCAACAAATATTTATCTATCATCAGACTTTGTGAAATATACTGCTGGTTTTTATTCAATAGAACATGTACAGTCCAAAGCGGTTGAGTCCTTTAGTGTATTTGGCTCCAGTTGAAATTCAAATTCAGATTGTATTGCAAATAGAACAAAAATATATTATACTTTTTTCAGAGTGATATGTCAGAAGTCTAAGTTTAAATTTTGATATTTTATTTATAAATATGATACTTTTTATGAGAATTTTATTTTCTATTTCAGAGTATGCCATTCATTGCCTCAGTATAGAGATTCAACATTTAAAGATTATAGGAATAAAAAAGGTGTAGCTCCAGACAAACACTGAAAAGGAAGGCAAAGATGTTTTCAGACTGACATAAAGCCCTAGTTTCTAAAACTAGAAATATATTCCTAACAGCAAGCACGAATATTTCCAGAATTATTCCCCTTAACTTGTTTGTTTTATTTGCAGGGATATTTATGAAATGAGCTATGCACGTACATTATGAGTTTTCAATGTTATGATGTGGTGGCATAGATTTTTTTCACAAATTTTAATCTTGTTGTATGTTCTTGATTAATCTAGTCAGCTTTTGTTTGTAAAAAATAAAATAAAAATAAATAAAATTTATCAAGATATGTTATTATTATTATTATCATTTTCATATTTTTCTCCGGAATTGACACCATCATTGGAACCTGCATTTATTCAAAATCCATTAGATAAATATAAGCAGGCAAGCCTGATTTGTTAATGATTCATTAATACATTGAATTTCGGTTTATGGAAGAAGAAAAAACACAATTTATTAGTGATTCATTAACAATTTATTTGCAATTCATTAATGAATCAGTTGGTCAGCGAACCTAATTTATTGCCAATTGATTAACCTGATTTGTTGATAATTCATTGACTAAGTCAAGAAAAGGACCAAATTCATTACCCATTTGTTAACCTGATTTATTAACAATTTATAATAAGTTGGTAAATGGACCCAATTTATTACCAATTCATTTCACTGATTTATTAACAATTTATTCATAATGCATTGGCTCATTTGCATGTCATTTCCATCTATAATAAATTGGGAATAAATGGTAAATTTGTTTATCATTTATTATACTGATTCATTCCTATCTTTTTTTTGTTTGGGACATTCACACTTCAGTTAAAACTTCTCATTTCTATTTACCACACTAATAAGACTTTAAATGTTTTCTTTGAGAAATCAAAAATATGCATCCTTACATTTTAAACAAAATATCTCCAGAATTGCTACAATATCAATAATTTCCTTTGTGTTTGCAAGCTTTAACTGACCTCAATTCCTTTGAATTCAAACTTTACAACGGTGTAACTGCATGGACAGTCCATTATAATTTTAAATTGTGAGGGATTTTCCAAAAACCATAGCACCCATCATTTTATTTTTTACATTCATTTGAATGTATAACTATATCTTATACCTAAATAGATTGAGTAGAAATAAGCTTTTGAAAGATAATTTAGCATGCTATTTTAAGACAAATTCTACATAAAAACATGTATAATGTTGCCTCTCCCAAAATAATCAAATGGAACATTCTGGTCAGCATGAGTAAACTATTAACCCCCATTCATAGATTACTAGATAAGAGGGCAGTAGTTTTATCAGATCTGAGATGTATGCTGTGTTGTTAAATCTTAGAGGATGCAGTATTTACTAGCTAGTATTTACTTATCCTGATTGTAAGAAATTTATCAGACATTATGACTTATTTACTTTTCACCTATTAATTTTTACAATAGATTTAAAGCCTCTGAAAGCATAGCACAAAAGATGTTAGAGACAATAATTTTAAACTCCACATATAACTTAATCTCATTTATGAGAAGTTACAATGCCAAGGAACCATAACTTTTTATTGCATTATTTGGGGTTTATTGCCATTTTTTACTTCTCTGCTTAATTTTTGTCTTGATCATTAAGCTTAAAAAGTACTGAAGATATTAATTTGAAACTTCACAGATATAGATCTTTTTGAGTAATGTGCTGTGTTTAAGAACCATAACTCTTTGCATACTTTTGGAGTTATTGCCCTTTGCATTTTTCACTTTAATTATTGTTAGCATTACATGAAAAGTGTTAGTACTCACCAGATATCAGTTTAAAGTAATATTGAAGAGACAATTTATTATGTCAATTAGAAGAAAAGACAAAAGTCAAACTTTATTCAAGATTGACATTAAATATCATAGAAGAAGCAACAAACTTTATGCAGAGATATGCATTTTCTGGGCATAGAAGAACATTTCAACTATTTAATAAATGTACAGATTATAACTAAAGAACAAAGTACACTTTAAAAGCCGTAATTTTATTTTACAAGCATAGATTGGAACATAAACATTTTGACTTGAAAGTCAAATTTTACATCCCTAAAGAAAAGTACTGCCATAAAAAATGGGAAGTTAAGTAACCCCATACTTTTCTAATTTTTCCTGATCATAATTATATGTGTTTAACGCCTGGAAAAGTGATTTTACGTCCAATTTCTGTGTCTTTTCCTGCTACTTTACAGCTGGAATTATCATACCGTTACTGTGAGGCAGTGACTTTGTATCAGAATTGTGTTCATGGCATTCTAGTATGTTTAAGAAATATGAGTTTCTGATAAAATTTTCTAACTGTTCAACTTCAATAAATTATATTTTTGATAAAAAGTTCACTTGATGCTTTGGTAGAGTACAAACTATAAACAGATTTATATCAGTTTGGAGCTTTGACTTAAACCCTGCAATGCACAATTATTAGATTTCTCAGTTTTTTCCACCAATTTTTATACAACCCAGAAAATAGTTAAGAGTTTCCCTTTTCGACTAAAAGTTATTCACAAAATTTTCTAAGTTTTTTTCCACTATTTTGCCACCCAGAAAATAGTTAGAGTTTCACTTTTCCACTAAAAGCCACTCATTTTCCACCTTCAAAATAAACTAAGTTTCATTTTTCACCAATTTCCACCCTTTTGCCACCATAAAAAAAGTCTATGTTCAAATTTCCACTCAATGCCACCTAAATGCCACCAAAGGATAGTGGCATTTGGTGGCAATTTTGCCACTACAGTGGAAAAAGAGTGGAATTTTGTCATTTTCCAGTTAATGCCACCTTTTTTACACTTAATGCCACCCTTTTCAGTGGAAATAGCTGGCAAGTAGTGGCAAATCTAGGGACGGGCCTGTTTCTTGCGATGAATAATGGCTTTTCTCTCCTTAGGATTAATGATGTTTTTACAGTCAATTGCAAAATGTTTTTCATTGCAGAATGGACATTTGGGGCGTTGGGGTATTTGTACTTCTTGTATATGCTGAAAACTTTTCTTCTTTTGTGTTGGTCTTGTGCTTGTAAGGAAAGATGCAGTTGCTAAATGTTCATATGTAGTCTGTGTTGGCTGGCCTGAATCTATTATATTTATCTCCTTCTTTAACGCTCTCCTAAGTTCCGGAAGTGACCATTCACTCCCACCATGGGCGCGTGTCATGTTCCACTTGATCTCCGCCGGAAGTTTTTCAAGTATGACCGGTATAAGTAAATTTCCAAAGGACTCATGACCTTGACCTAGGGACTGTAGACCACGGATATATGCCTCCATCTTTTCTTGAAACGGTCTTAGACTGGACAGTTGGGAAGTTGGTCTAGGTAAATCCAGCAAACCTTGCATGTACGCATTTACAACTTTATGTGTCTGACCAAAACGTTCCTTGAGTAAATGTATAGCTTCTGAATAGTTTCCATGTGTAACATTCAAACCATCAATGACACTGGCAGCATCTTTGGACAATAGAGTTTTCAGATAGCAAAATTTCTGCACCTCAGATAGTGACATGTTGTTATGTATAATTGACTCGTAACAGTCCCAAAATGTTTGCCACTCCAAAATGTCTCAAGTAAAATTTGGTAATGTAAGCTTCGGAAGTTTATGAAACTGTGATGCAGACTGAATTGAAATGTCACTTATGTTTTTAGCCGATGTGCTATTATTTCGGTTCCCGGAAGTTCCATCTGCGTGTTGTGCGGTCTCATGGTTGTTACTATTTAGGGGCTCCTCAAGTGTGGTATTCTCAAGGGTTATATGTGGGGAACGGGTGATCTTCACGGCAGCGCGGTGTTAAGCCTCCAAATCTCAAATGTGTAGCCGAACTTCCAGCTTCTCGGTCTCCATGCCTACCTCATCTACCTGCGACATTATCTCCTCGTTGATCTCTTCCAGCGCCATAAGTTTCTCACGTAGAGTTTCAATAACGGTAGTAAAGTGCGTATTATCGCCCGCATATTCTTCTAATTTGCCAAGTTGACGTGTTATCACAGCCTTATGTGCACTTCTTCTCTTCTTAATTCTCAAAATATCCATAATTTCTGTTTTTGTCACGGCACCAAAATGTAAAAGTGGTCAGTGAAATAAGAAGCAACTACTTTGCGTTGTGTCTAAAATGATAATGTTTATTAACGGTAAAATAACAATGCAACGGAAATGACGTCATATGAACTCTTCTTAACGCCAACGTAACGTTGTCTGCCTGCCGTTCCCGCTAACGTAACGTCGTCTTTACGACATCGGGTACACTTATGAAATTTTCATACATGAAAACCCTATCTAATGGTAATTTTCTCTTGCTATAATATCTAAATTATACAAGAAAACACACACAATTTACAATCTATTATTCTAAACATGTGAATAAAACATAGGTGGCCATCTTATATGACATCATATGTATTTTCATTGTCCATGACAACATGGCTTAGAAAAATTTGAAACCCTTAAGGCGCTAATTGTTGATCATACAGAATGAGCAATATTTGGGCACCTGAATTAAGTGGAACACTTTCAATACACTAGCTGTCGGGCACCTGTGTTAAGTGGAACACTTTCAATACACTAGCTGTTGGGCACCTGTGTTAAGTGGAACACTTTCAATACACTAGCTGTTGGGCACCTGTGTTAAGTGGAACACTTTCAATATACTAGCTGTCGGGCACCTGTGTTAAGTGGAACACTTTCAATACACTAGCTGTTGGGCACCTGTGTTAAGTGGAACACTTTCAATACACTAGCTGTTGGGCACCTGTGTTAAGTGAACACTTTTAATATACTAGCTGTCGGGCACCTGTGTTAAGTGGAACACTTTCAATACACTAGCTGTTGGGCACCTGTGTTAAGTGGAACACTTTTAATACACTAGCTGTCGGGCACCTGTGTTTAAGTGGAACACTTTCAATACACTAGCTGTTGGGCACCTGTGTTAAGTGGAACACTTTCAATACACTAGCTGTTGGGCACCTGTGTTAAGTGGAACACTTTCAATACACTAGCTGTTGGGCACCTGTGTTAAGTGGAACACTTTCAATACACTAGTTGTTGGGCACCTGTGTTAAGTGGAACACTTTCAATACACTAGCTGTTGGGCACCTGTGTTAAGTGGAACACTTTCAATACACTAGCTGTTGGGCACCTGTGTTAAGTGGAACACTTTTAATACACTAGCTGTTGGGCACCTGTGTTAAGTGGAACACTTTTAATACACTAGCTGTTGGGCACCTGTGTTAAGTGGAACACTTTCAATACACTAGCTGTCGGGCACCTGTGTTAAGTGGAACACTTTCAATACACTAGTTGTTGGGCACCTGTGTTAAGAGGAACACTTTCAATACACTAGCTGTTGGGCACCTGTGTTAAGAGGAACACTTTCAATACACTAGCTGTTGGGCACCTGTGTTAAGTGGAATACTTTCAATACACTAGCTGTTGGGCACCTGTGTTAAGTGGAACACTTTCAATACACTAGCTGTTGGGCACCTGTGTTAAGAGGAACACTTTCAATACACTAGCTGTTGGGCACCTGTGTTAAGTGGAACACTTTCAATACACTAGCTGTTGGGCACCTGTGTTAAGAGGAACACTTTCAATACACTAGCTGTTGGGCACCTGTGTTAAGAGGAACACTTTCAATACACTAGCTGTCGGGCACCTGTGTTAAGTGGAACACTTTCAATACACTAGCTGTTGGGCACCTGTGTTAAGTGGAACACTTTTAATACACTATCTGTCGGGCACCTGTGTTAAGTGGAACACTTTCAATACACTAGCTGTCGGGCACCTGTGTTAAGTGGAACACTTTCAATACACTAGCTGTCGGGCACCTGTGTTAAGTGGAACACTTTCAATACACTAGCTGTCGGGCACCTGTGTTAAGTGGAACAATTTCAATACACTAGCTGTCGGGCACCTGAGTTAAGTGGAACACTTTCAATACACTAGCTGTCGGGCACCTGTGTTAAGTGGAACACTTTTAATACACTAGCTGTCGGGCACCTGTGTTAAGTGGAACACTTTCAATACACTAGCTGTCGGGCACCTGTGTTAAGTGGAACACTTTCAATATACTAGCTGTCGGGCACCTGTGTTAAGTGGAACACTGTTAATACACTAGCTGTCGGGCACCTGTGTTAAGTGGAACACTTTCAATATACTAGCTGTTGGGCACCTGTGTTAAGAGGAACACTTTCAATACACTAGCTGTCGGGCACCTGTGTTAAGTGGAACACTTTCAATACACTAGCTGTCGGGCACCTGTGTTAAGTGGAACAATTTCAATACACTAGCTGTCGGGCACCTGAGTTAAGTGGAACACTTTCAATACACTAGCTGTCGGGCACCTGTGTTAAGTGGAACACTTTTAATACACTAGCTGTCGGGCACCTGTGTTAAGTGGAACACTTTTAATACACTAGCTGTCGGGCACCTGTGTTAAGTGGAACACTTTCAATACACTAGCTGTCGGGCACCTGTGTTAAGAGGAACACTTTCAATATACTAGTTGAACATTTTTTTTTCAAACAAATTAATTTGATTAAGTGCAGGGCATACTGACAATTAATTCACTTCAAAAGTCATTAAAACAAACCCAATTAGATTATTCATGCAATCTGAAGTTTTTTCGAAACACAAACACAAAAAATTATTATTCACACACTTTCATGCTATATCAATACCTCAACGTACCTGTGGTCTTGCCTTGTATCCCGTGTTCTCCACCAACTCTTCCGGATCATATTCTATAGTTGATGTCTCAAATACAAAGAGAACTCTTGGTGAACATGGTCGCCCATTGTATTTCCAATCTTTAGAGATTGGTAGATCTAGGAGCTGTTCTGTTACGCATTTCTGTACCTTCATCCTGTAGTAAAATTACATATAATTATATATGATGGGCTAACTAATACACATCTTTTTAATTTAAAAAATAATGAAATATTCAAAAAGTTAATGAAAAAAATAAGACCTGGACGGTCTTTTTAATTAGTTATCTGCCCCATGGAGATCATAAAATGGCACCTGGTTAAGGCATTAGGATATAACCTGTCAAAAACTGGCTATACCGATATAATGTCAGTGGTCTAACTGCACGTCACACCTGTTTAGAGTAAAGGTTAAAATTCCATATTTCTGGTTTATATTAATTGTAAAATTATCATTTCTTATTTTATCATAGATATTTCTATACATGATACCTTTTAGTCATTACCTTATAGAGTCCAAAATCCTGAATAATCTGACATATGTAACATCAAAAGATGAACCTGGGTGTGATATCTGAAATAGTACAGTAAAATTACAAATCTGCATAAGTCATTATTTTATTTGCACTAAAAAGAGCTGAGACTTTATCAAATTGCAAAATACATGTTTATTGTTACATAATTCTTGTCTGCATATAGTGCTGATCCTTGAATATTTATTATACACATGTACATAACTGGTAGAGTTTAATAACATCAATAAATGATACCATAACTGGAAAAAAACAAACAATGCCATTTGATACTTGATGCAAATACTAACATTTCACAATAGAGACATTAGTTCAGTTTATACAAATTTATTTTAGTTTGATTGTGTTGGAAGCTATAAGCTTATTGAAACACTCTCGAATCCGTTCCTCGAATCAACCAGTACTAAGCAATGAATGTAAAGTTTCTTGCTCAAGGAACAACGGCTTGCCCCTGACAGGGTTTGAACCCACGCGGTAAGTAATCCTTAGATTACTTGTCCGGCGCGTTAACCACTCGGCCACGCCGCCACTCAATAGAGTCATTAAAGGGACTCCACTGAGGTTTTTTGACATGACAGGAATGGAAACATTTTTTTCAGATTGTTACTCTATTTGATATAGATCTATACAAATAACTTATGTGCAAAATTTCAGATCATTAGCTTGCTCCGTTTTTCCAGAAAAATTATTATAATAATGAGTTGTATTTCATTTATATTTCTGTTTTAAGTGCTTGTGTTGATCTATGTGAAAAATTGAAAATTTATGTTTTTAGCCTTATAAACCTCAGTGGAGTTCCTTTAATTTTTTTATTTCAGAATTCAAAAACGAAGCCTTATTCTTTCTATCAATATATCACTATGACTAACTCTAATTAATAAAATTTTACAGTGAAAAAAGCTCAGCTAGCCAAGTTCTAATAGCTAAGTGTTTCCCCTATATTATATTACATACATAAATCAAAGATATACATGTAATCTATACTCACCACAAGTATATGAGAAACTTGAAACATGAAGAAGAGACATTTAGCATTGTGACAATCCTCTTGTTGCCATAGTGTCTGAAAATCCTGGAAATAATTGTATAATACAAATGGTTAAACTCCAAGCTCAAAGGCATAGGGTTTAATGAAAAGAACAAGCTGAAACTTTGATTTCTGAAGAGTCATATACTGTTCTGGCCAAATAGGAAATAATCATATTCTGTGCATAAAACTATAATGTGCATTCTTTAAAAATGCCCTCTGCAAGTTTTCCTTACTATCATATTTCATCACTTTTTTAAGCAAGGGCTGCATTATAGTTCTAGACATGTTCTTTTGACAGGTCACCGGCTTTCATTTAGTATGTTTTGTGTGAATTTTAGTCATTCCTAGACATTTTATCAATTGATCAAAATTAACAAATTTTCAAAACTGTGTCTATAATCTATCATAAGAAAAATACCATCATTGACTATAATGACATACAATAACAGCTCTAACTATATGTAGTTATACTTATTAAGAATCTCTTTCTTCAGCTATTGAAAATAAACATTTTCGTTACTTTTATTCAGGGACTAAAAATAAAATTTTCTGTATAAATATTGAACATTTTGCAATATATAAATAGCCCAACCTTCAGCTTACCTTGACAGAGGCATCCTTAAGTCTCTGGCAAACTGACGTCAATCTGTAAGAATCTAGTATACTGGTGAGATGTAGGTATACCACATTGCTGTCAATGTCATAGTAACACTCTATGTCACCCTGTAAAATATGCTATCATAGAGCTCAATTTGTTTGTGAGAAATGATGCTTATAAAACTTGGTTTGTAAAAATTGAAAAAAAATGGGGGTCAAACTTCTTTTACTCATCAAAATAAGAAAGAAATAAAAGAAATACAACACATCCACACCAGTGCAGGTTGAGTAATTTATAGTAATCTACTGGTTTCAGTTCTTAACAAACCTTCATCTAGATAAATATTTTACAAAATTTCGAGCTAAAGTATACAAAACATGGATGTATTTTATATTATATAAACATTTTTTTTTACTCATGTATAAGCATAACAAGAGCTGCCCCACAAGAAGTTGATTTATCTTATGACATAAAACTTCTCTTTTTTTCTAACCCAGGTCCTACATGTAATTAAAAAAAAAAACAGAAATAAAAGAAAGTTTGCTCAAAATGTTAAAAATATTTCTACTTTTAGCAATGTCTATGTCATTAAAAAATCTCATAATAGAAAAATGCTTTGTAAAAATTACTAAGTGCTAGACAGAAGACTAAATGGCCAGTTTTAAATGCATTACTTTGATAAAAAAAATCAGAAAAGGCAAACATTCTTTATATTTTCCTCAAAATGAATGAAAAAGGGAGGTAATTTTGAAGTGTTTAATTTTGAAGTGATATCTTCATAGTTTCTGAGAAAAAGGACCTTAAGAAATGGTTAATCAAACTGAAAAGGGGTAAACATTTGCAAATATTCATTTTAGGATTACCGGTATCTGCCTGTATGAAATTGCATTTTTTTATAACAAAATCATCTATACAAAGTTTGAAAAGCTTTCATAGTATCAAAAATAATCAACCTTAACACAAAATTAACCAGAATGCCAATTCTGACAAAAGAGTCATGACAATGGATCCACATTTTTTTCTTTCAAAAAGAGGCGGTAAAAATTAAACTACCCAATATGAAACAAAAATATGCTTACTTGATTTATACTATCCTCAAGGTATCCCTCCACACCCTGCAAATATACATATACATTGTATTTTGAATAAAAAAGATTTTTTTTTAATTAAATACATGTACTGGTACCGTTGGCCTAGTGGTTAAGACGGCTTCAGATTAGGAGGTCCAAGGTTCAAGCCCCACCTTGAGCGTTAATTGAAGGATGAATCTTTCTCGTTCGGAAATGTCTGCTTCGTGAGCCACGAGGCAGTTAAATGAATGGTTACTGATTTCTATCCGCCTGGCATAGTGGTAGTTGGGAAGTACATGGTATACAATCAAAAGGTGTCTCATATTAAAGTCAGTTATTACTGACCCTTTCAGTAGGGGTGGCACTATGATAAACAAGACCCGTTTACACGTTACTCTTATTCTAGAAACTACAATAGAGATTTACTCTATAAATTGTTACATTGGACATGGCCATCTTTGAATAAGGAAGTTTACATCAACAGTGTAGAGGTTTATGTTTAAGGTAGTACACCCCTAATGGACACTATAAGGAACTGTAAAATTGACAACATAGGACAGTTATATGCCTTAAATGTCACCTGTATGCAAAATTTAAGCAAAATTTATCGTGTGGTTTATGAGTTATGGACATTTTTCTGAACTAAAACTTTGCCATTAGAAGGGCTTTTTTCAGAAATGAGGAAACTTTAAATAATTTATAATATCATCATTATGAAAAATGTTTTCCTATAGCTCATTGTTAAGAAACAAAGAATGATATTTAGGTAATAAATTAAACAAACAAAATTATTGTTTTTAAACGAAATGTTTTTAATATGTATAAAAATGTAACCATACCCCACCCACTTTTAACACTTATGTGAAAAAAAACTTTTTTTACATATCCCTAAAATTTTCCACAATGAGGGGCAGTTTTCAAAGTTTGCATAAATTTTCTTAAATGTATATTGGTTGGTCTTGCAACATATTAAATATTTTTACCGTGTAGTTTTTATTTCATTAAACTTTGAAAATATCTGGTATCATATTTGCTATTAAATTTGGCATTATTAATTTTAGTAAATAAATACCTATAAAAATTATGTAATTAAAATGAAACACTTTTTTCTTCCATTAGGGATCTGAGAGAATGTTAAAAAGACAAGAGGGCCATGATGGCCCTGAAGTCGCTCACCTGTATGTAGGCCCCCCAACCCCCACCCCCAACGTTGCAGGGCCAATTTAACCCAAGAGCTTTTATTTGCACAAACTTGGTAGACACCCATAAGAAGATGTTTCATGCTAAACATCTAAGCTTTAGCTCATTGGGCTTTTTAAAAGAAGATTTTTTTTAAAGTTTTTACTATACACATAAAGATAAAAACAATGACACCCCTGGGGCCGGGCCAGTTTTGACCCAAGGGCTTTTATTTGAACAAACTTTGTAGACACTTACTAGAAGATGTTTCATGCTTAATATCTAAACTCTAGCTATTTGGGTTTTTTTCAAAGAAGATTTTAAGTTTTTGCTATACACATATAAGGAAAATCAATGACCCCCGGCGCGGTGCCAATTTTGACCCCAGGTCTTTTATTTGAACAAACTTTGTAGACACTCACTAAAAGATGTTTCATGCTTAATATCTTAACTCTAGCTATTTGGGTTTTTTCAAAGAAGATTTTTTAAGTTTTTGCTATACACATATAAGGAAATTCAATGACCCCCCGGGCGGTGCCAATTTTGACCCAAGGGCTTTTATTTGAACAAACTTGGTAGACACTTATTTGAACATGTTTGATGCTAAATATCTTAGCCATAGCTCTTTGAGTTCTTTAAAAGAAGATTTTTTAAGTTTTTACTATATGCATATAGGGAAAATCAATGACCCCCCCGGGGTGGGGCCAATTTTGACCCCAGGGCTTTTATTTGAACAAACTTGGTAGACACTTATTAGAACATGTTTCATGCTAAATATCTTAGCTCTAACTCTTTTGGTTCTTTAAAAGAAGATTTTTTAAGTTTTTACTATAATATGCATATAGGGAAAATCAATGACCCCCTGGGGCGGTGCCAATTTTGACCCCAGGGCTTTTATTTGAACAAACTTGGTAGACACTTATTAGGACATGTTTGATGCTCAATATCTTAGCCATAGCTCTTTGAGTTCTTTAAAAGAAGATTTTTTAAGTTTTTACTATATGCATATAGGGAAAGTCAATGACCCCCCGGGGCGGGGCCAATTTTGACCCCAGGGCTTTTATTTGAACAAACTTGGTAGACACCCATTAGAACATGTTTCATGCTAAATATCTTAGCTCTAGCTCTTTGGGTTCTTTAAAAGAAGATTTTTTAATTTTTTACTATATGCATATAGGGAAAATCAATGACCCCCCGGGGCGGGGCCAATTTTGACCCCAGGGATTTTATTTGAACAAACTTGGTAGACACTCACTTGAAGATGTTTCATACCAAATATCTAAGCTCTAGCTCATATGGTTTTTAAAAGAAGATATTTAAAGTTTTTTCTTTAGGTTGCCATGGCAACCAGAGTTCTGCATGGAATTAAATTCTTTGAACAATTTTTAAAGGTGACCACCAAAGGAACATTCCTGTGAAGTTTGGATGAAATTGGCTTAGTGGTTTATGAGGAGATGTCATTTAAAGTAAAAGTTTACGGACGGACGACGGATAGACGACGGACGGACGCCAGACGAAAAGCGATCACAAAAGCTCACCCTGTCACTTTGTGACAATCTATACTCTTTACAGTGATTCTAGCCTATTTGAATACTCTTTAAAGTGGAGGTAGTGCATTAGGGGTGTACTACCTTAATACGTCAAGATTACTCAGCCACTAGTAGTTGGGTCAAATGAATGCATGGAACAACAGTCACTTTGATGATAGTGTAGGTGGGTTAGAATTGTCAATAATGGTTAAAAGGGTAATATAAAACACAACTTAATAAACTGCTTAATAAACTGTTTCAAGAATACAAATTGTACAATGTTGAATTCTTTAACGTTTTGATTAAGTTATCTAAACGTTTCTTATTGATTTTCAGTTTTTATGGGTTATTTTTGTTGTGTTGGGTTTTTAACGATTATTCACCTTATTCAACAGAGGCCTATAAAAGTCCTCTTCTTCCCAAACAAAATTTTCTTTAAAACCATGCAGTTTTCCAAAAAAATCTGAACTTGCACCAGCTTTTTTAACTCCAAAATTTGTAATTTAAGAGATAATTTTTCCCAAACTGAAGATGCTTAGGCTTCTTCCCAATTAAGTGAGAAGTACCACTGGTCTAATGTCGCACCAACACTGTAAAGGTCCAGCTTAACTGGTGGAGGAAGATATCAGGTGTCCCAGCATTATAATTTCAGGCACTGACAGGCACTCAAGTAGAACCACTAACAGTATTTTTCTAGCTGGATAGCTTTTCATCACATAAAAACAATTTAAGTCCCTGGCAGCATTCAAACCTGCAGCAGTGAGGTCAAGGGTTAGTGGTTTGAAGTTAAAAATATTAATCACTAGGCCACAGACACCCTATTTCATACAAACATTCAAGTTAAAAATTTGTTGAATAATAACAAAACATAAATATTATAATATATCGGATAATACCTACAAAGTAGTTGAAAAATAAATCTACAATATTCAGCATATTTAATATTTCACCTTAAATATGTCGGCATCTAGAATTGGGTTGAATAAAGATGCTTTTGAAGTAGCAGTTTTGTACAGGCTCTTTCCAATGATAGACACAACACATACTTTATTGTCTTTAAACTGGCTTGGCCTGAAATAAATGTTTATTCATGAATGCTTTCTTTGACAAAAATATATATTGGAATGAATGTTAAATTTACAGGATTATAATATTTCCTGACAATAGTGCAAATCAAGTTCATGAATTTTCATTTGCATATTTTAAATGCTTTGTATACTGTGCGTATAATGTAGAAATGAACAGAACAGAAATGAGTAAACAAAAATGTTTCCTGCATTGAAGACTGCTATAAACTAAGTGTGCGCATAAAAATATATTGTCGTGTTTTGTTCTTTATGGCAAATTCCACGTGAATTAAAATAATCCCATTAACAATCATAAAATCTCAATAAAGTAATGAAAATAAACTTATACCCATGTTACATTTTTAAAACTAATTACTTATCTCGATTTTTCAGGGCCATCAACAGAATATTTAATGACATAATCAAAGTTTTATTGATATATCAAAAAGTAGATTTTGTGTATTGTCAAAGGAATATTGGAAAATTTCCTGCATTTCATATCATGTAATGATGTACTGAGTTGGGATACTGTATACACCATCTGTTTTCCAGAGTGTCAATCAAAAGCCAAACATTAAGCCATGAACATTCTGCACATACAGTGTACTGGCATGCGAGCAGTTCCCGTACAAAAATCGTAGTTACTTAAACATTATTTTTTATTACGCTCACTCACCAAAATTTGAACGTTACACATCAATATTCGGCTCGTCACAGAAATCATGGAAATTCCATCATGTTCTAAACATAGAATAACCCTTAGTTATGAGGCCTCATATGGGGTACCGAAATTATCCATTATTTTGTATGAAGAGAAGTAGTTCCCGTACATAAAATTTAACCCATTATAATTACACAATTTTATTATATCGGACCTATTTTTCATTTATAATTGTTGAACAGACCATTTTCTAAGAGATAAATAGATGTAATTCCGGAAATAGAAAGTAGACTAAACGCGTGTATCTATTACCCGGTACCGTTACCCCCAACACATTCACATGCGATGGCATGCTTGTATGCATGATATTTTACGCATCAAAGCCATAAAATTATTTTATATAGTAATATTGGTCAAAATTCTGATAATTAAACAAGTTTTCATCACATTGCCTTCTTATCTGTAAACAGGTGGTATAAGTGGAAAACCCTTTAACATGCCTCACGTGTAAGTATGTTTGCGCATGCGCGCAAGAACGGAATCCCCCGGATAAAACAAGGTCACGTTTTGACAACGCACATGTGTAAGTGATTTAAAATGAGACTTTTTATACGTACTGCCGAACTGACATTTAGATTTTGTCTCGTTTATGTATCTGCTTGATTTGAAATGAATTTTTGAAGAATGCATGTAAAAATAAAGTTTAAATGAAAAATACGGGTACTGCTTCTGTACGGGAACTGCTTGCATGCCAGTATAGCTCTTTTAAGCTATACATATTTAACTTTTTAAAACAGTTTTACCTAATTCAAGCTTAATAATCCAGGAACTAGAAAGATTCAGAAAGATTTTTCAAGATGTCTAACATGTCAGCCACTATAGAGGACAAAGTTTACAAACCAACACAAAACAAAGGACTGTTACTGCGAAATAACTTTTTCTCCATTAGAATTGCTGAATTATAGTGGTTTAGTCGAAGTACCGGTTCGGCGAACTGAATTTATAAAGAGGTGCGGAAGTGGTTTCATCGATCTTATGTAATATAGTAATTAAAGGCAAGTAGACATGGTTCATATATATAAAGTTTTATTTTCATTGTCAATATTTTGTTATAAATTTTAAATCATTATTCGCTTTTTCAGGTTTTACTTATATACGTCCATATATTTCTATGATGAGATCTTTCGTATTGTGTAATGCTTTTAGGTGAATATTACTATTATACTTAAGGAAATAATAAACAATACATGTAAGGTTAAATTTTTAATATCTTGTCTTTAATTGCATGAAAATGTGTGATAAACCGCGATAATTGGCATACCCATTATACAACAGATATTGTTTGCACTTTATAAATTAAGTTCACCGAAACCACAACCTGTTTAATTATATAAGATCAGGTCGCCGAACCGGTATTTCGACAAAACCACTCTCACCCTAGTCCTAATTATAAGACCTATACGTAACCTATTTCATATTTATCATTCATTAATCTGATATTTTACATTTTTCATTTTCCATGTTACGTTAGGTCTTAACAGATCTTTGCAAAATCGTGTAGCAAAAAAAATGACATTAGACATCGATTTAGATCTAATGAATTTAAACAATTAAAACAGCGTGTATTTACAATAATTTTGACCTATTTATGAACAAAACTAAAAAATAAATACCTTTAAACAAAATAATTGAACTGTCACAACCGAAAAGTCATGATTAAATCCTCTCATTTAATTAAATTCTTTGTACAGCTGATATACAAATGGCCGCCATACAGTGCGCGAAATCTGATTGGCTAATTCAAATGCAAGCGTTTAAATGACTCCAGAAGTTTCTAACGGAATATTTTTTCAACGAAATAATTGCCCATGCACCGTCAGTGTGTTCAAATATATTTTTCCGTTCAAAAAATTGGAATCAATCTGTAAAACGCTTTACTTAACCAGTATGGCCGATGAGCGAAATAGACTGATATTTATATTTTATTTTTAATTGATAAGTACATTGTTTGAAAGTTTTTGTTAATGATAGACCATGCAATTGAAAGAACAGAAGATAAGCTTTTGAATAAAGCTTGAAAGGCAAGTCAACAGACATTTTTTTAATTTTTCAAAATGCTACGCGTTTTTGAGCAATAACTATTAGACGTAAAGGCTTGACCAACATAAAACTATAACAAGCCTGTAACGTCTAATCTATTGGACTACTCTCACCCGAATTGCTAACATGTGGAACAAATGCCATGAAATGGCCAGACAGGGTTGTTTTGGCAAAAACCGTGGATACCTTCAAAAACCAGACTAGACCACAACTGGAATGTTATGGACAGATATGGAACTCAAGAGTCATCGCTTACTATCAAACTCCCATCCAAGAATTAAATGTAAATAATTAGTCTACTTTCACTTTTAAATTTTAACAATTCGTCAAGTAGATCTAGATTTATATGAATTTTAACATTTCAACTCAACCAGGTGAAAGAATGTTTTGGAGTGTTAAACGACGCACTAATACTGCTTGTTATAAAAGGTAACAAACGTGTTCAATCACTTTAAAACTTACACAAAATCGTGTTTTACTGGAAAAGAATTTGTTGTTGCTTCGACTGCCGACATTTTACCATGATAAAATCCGTCTAGCTTATCTAAAACCCGGCACTTCTGTGGCCGTCCACTACCTAATTGTAAAAAAATCAGATATATCGATAGTAGATCTAATATATGTAGATTTGAAAAAAAATGTTATAATATTATAATGTTCAATAAAATAACGATATCTATTTTCAATTATACTGTATAAGGGCACATAAAGCTTAACAAAATAATGAGTACATTTTTTTAATTTGTGCGATTTCAGCATGTTTTGCAGAGTTTATTACTGAATCAGAAAGTAGCACTATACTAGGTAATCTTCATAAACGTGAAGTACTAATTATATATATATACAAAACTAGGCTCTTTTTTGTAACTTGAAAATGCAAAAAAGGCAAGCTTGAGATTTATTTATTTATTTATTTATTTTTTTTTTTTTTTATTTATTTATTTATTTATTTATTTATTTATCTATTTATTTATTTATTTATTACGTTAAATGTGTTAATTTTATTATGTAGCATACACTAATTTAAAATTGATCACCAAACTAAGCAAGTTATATTTGATTTATCCTTTCAGTGGTTCTAAAGATATCGCTCATTTTTAAATAATTATGACAAATGGCAGAAATAAAAAAGAGTAAAATTGCACTAATTGTTTAAAAAGTATGCCTTTCAATGGTTGTTGGGGTATCATTTTTAATTGTTTTATAAGTGAATGCATTAATTTACATCAAAAACAGAGAAATGACTTCTCATGGAAACAACAGCAATTATTTTGTAACGACAGTAGTTTCCTTTGCATGGTTAAGAATTAAAACTCTTGGCAATTATTGATACAAGTACATGTACATATGTATACGAGGGCTTATCGGAAAGTCTGTGTTTGTTTTCAAATATATTTGCATTTTTTTTTTCAAATAAACTAATTTAAAAGTTACGTTAGAATTTAACTCATTACACGGCGAATCGTTACATATAATTAACACATTTACTTTACTATTATATGATAAAGAAATATAGAACAAATAAGTATATACAGACCAACAGATTTTTACCTAACAGTACTCGTACACGTTACGATGTACATAACCTTCAAAATCATATCTGTCATATGTTGCGGTTCGAATCGGAATTTCCGTCCCGAGGGGTCCCACCAATAGGCGAATTCCCGAGGGACAGATATTCCGAACATATGTCAGATGTTTTTTCTTGCATATTCCATTCTATCTTAAACTCTTTACTTAATATAACAATTTTTATGGAAATTTATGCCACTACACCCGTAACTATTTTCTTCCAACAGCGTAAGAAATTCTAACTTCATTCAAAATTGTTAAATCAGGTCATCCTAAGTGTGCCATTGTACAGCACTAGACTCCGCTGGCACCCCACCCCCATGCCAGAATTGCGGTATGGGTAAAACTGACATGACAGTCTGATATGCAAAGAATATGACGTCAAATATCACCATTTTTCCACATACATTGTAGTCTCCACCAGCATGCACACACATTTCGTGTTTCTTTATCCAATGACTTTTTCTTAATAGTATTTAATCCAAAATCAAGTACATACATGTACTGTACTAGTATAATGAATGACAGCTTCTTCACAATGTAGCTATATTGACGATCCTGGAAAGGAATTTCATGGAGCTAAGATTTTAACTGAGGAAACTGAGACCGAAACAGGGTTTTATAACACATGTGGAAGTATCTCAAATGCTTTCCGTACACCAGTTATTCACAATTCTAAGTTTTTAATCCGTCCCGAGTATACTTTTATCATTACCTCTGTATGTGTTTGGTGTTTTATCAAGTACGGTTTGTAAGTTTACAGCTGCAACATTGCTTGTTGCCGTCGAACTGTCAAGATGTTCGAGCATCACAGACAAATTGATTCAAATGCATGACTGTATTCGGGTCAAAATCTATCAGACGGTCCGTATTTCCTTCAGCCGAGCCTAACAGTGCTAGCCCGGTCTTTTTGAGTGTACACAGTGTTAAACGCATAACTAATTCGTGTTATGCATTTTGTGGGGTTTCATACATACAATTTACTCAAAAAGAAGTATGTTAACCGCGATTTTATTTTCATAATTTTCAATTATGGTTTTCTATAAAAAGATTAAAAAAAATCTTGCACATGTTTAAATTTTCCTTAGTTGCCTTATAAAAATAGAACTGAAGACTTTGTGAGAATAGCTTTGAAGCGTTATCAGATGCTACGTTTCTACAGGGTCTTTCAAATATTTGGGGAAAAAAATCTGGAAAAAAGTGATCCCTTGTAAGCATTAAAACAGCAAAACTACAACTCAGTTTGATCGAGTCTGTACATGAGAGATAATGTAAAAGTGCAATATCCCTTACGCCCCCCCCCCTGGCACCGATTTGAGCGGTACACAAAAGTGCTGGACTCAATGATCCCGAAGGACTAGAAAAATATACCAACACTGGTTTTTGAATTATGAAACGTTCTTACAGTCTACAAAAATAAGTTGGGAAATCCATTATTTTTTTTACTCGATTCATTGCTGAGGAAAAAACAGATGAAGGTGACCAACTAGAAATTCGACACTGTGTACATACAAGGCAGTGTTAGTAATAGGTTTTTATTAACAATATACATGTATAGTTAACCACATTCTGATAAAATCAGCTCTTAATAACGCTCCGCATGTAAGAAATAAGTTTCATATTTTCTCTATTTTATCGCCACATCAGAGTTGTTTGTGCCGTGTGGAGGCTGTAAAAAGTCGCCCCGTATACATTCAATCAGAGATGTTATATCTCCGATCCTTAAAGCACCATGCCTCCAGATTCATGCTAGTTTTCATGAAAATTTTAAAAATGTATGTAAAAGTAAAACATTGTGAAGTGAACAAAGAAAGTAATTTACACATTGCAAACGGCACTTACAACCCACGTAAATTACCAAAAAGAGGTCAAAATATACATAAATACCTATTACTGCCTTAGTAATTATAAACCAGTAGAATTATAGTGATTGATACTGAAAAATCAGTTATTAATCGCACATAACATGTTAATGATTAATTAAATATTGAATCTTTTTAATTTTCTTAAGATCTTAATAAGTTTTTCTAAATCTTGAATTTCTTGAAATATTTTGGCTCATCTGGAGGCGTGCAGTTTTAAAGACCGTTCAGCACTATAAGCCGGTGCGAATGGGTGTGGACGGTAGTTTGCACTTGACAGTACCGTCCATGAACAGGCACAATAAACCCGAGCCTGCAACATTTTCGATTTTACCGTTTTGGCCTTTCTTAAATTCATATTTTTTCTCTATTTTATTTATGAATAATAACCGAGATGTTCCGATTGAGGGTTAAATATTAATATAGCACGGGATCCGTGAAATATTTGAGTGTCTAACACTTTTCTATTTATGTATTTTATCATTATCTATAATGCTATTGTATTACGACACATGTACAGCGCACAAATCTCCACAATGATAAAAAAAGAAAAAGAAGAAACCACATCGCCATACCTTATCGATCTCTTATATGTAACACCGACACTTTGATGTCCATTTTCTGTCATCTTCGCAATAAAAATCATTTTCCTGATCATTTTTCGCACATTAATTCAACAGTAAGTAATGAATCTATATATTATTTTTTGTGGGGGATCCTAATAAACGTGAACAATAATTTGTAGATTATTATTAGCCGATATGGCTAGATAGATAAAGGAATATGGCTTGTTCGAAAAGTTTGATACTTGGACTTTATGCTGTCGTAAAATTTGTTAGTATATTTTAACAACTTTTTGTATTTATTTTTAATTAAGTTAAATCTTTTGTTCATCATGGAAGAGTGGCTTAAATTAATAATGTTTTTTTCCTTATACATATATGATATATTGTCGATCGTATGTGTAACTGCAACAGTAAGACTTTCCAATAAGATGTTTAAAAATATTTGGTTACGATAGTTTACTTAAAAGCAATTATGGTGAATTTTGTAGTAAATTCTAGAACTAATATAAACTGAGCTATACAGTTTTAAAATGGAAATAAAAAATAAATAAATGCTGAATTAACAATGCAAAGATCGATCGTGAGTATTAAAGTTTAAAAATAAATTATTTATTAATAGCCTGGATTTTGTTGTTTATTCCAGCAAAATGAACGATTTAATGTTGATTCTCTACACGTTTATGTTAACCATACTTTAAGGCACATTATGTCTAATTTTTCATTCTGTAGATAGGGCATTTTTATTTTACATTTTTGTTTAGAACACGTGATATGTTAATCACCTGAAGAAAATAATGCTGAATATGGAGTATTTGCGGTAAAAGTAGCAACATGGTATTTTGACTTACATTCAAAGTAATGAGTAATTATAACTGTACTAACATTCAAAGAGCAATAGAAGCACCAGATGGCTAAGTTATATTGCCAAATAGATATCATTTTGGAACCGGTATCAGAACACCAAAATAAAAAAAAAAACTTTTGAGAAATCAAGATAACAACATATATTGGCTGAATGGGCCTTTAAGAAGTTATAAAGTTGGATTATTATGCCATTAGTTATCAAAATACCGGTATGGACAAAGTTTGGATAAGATAGTGAATTTATGAATTCGATATGTCGAAATATGAATTTATGATTTTATATATTTAAATCACGGGGTCTCTATCGTTTTCAGCAGATATATACAAAAAATACAGACTAAAATTGATTTAATACAAAAGGCAATAAACGAGATATTCATTATAAATAATACGCAACGTTAGAGATTATTTGAACTCTTGAATAAAACCATTGCCTCTTATCTTATTTTTTCTTCAATATATCACTTTTGCTTTATAATTGTTTCAGTTGTGTCTAGACGTTGGTGATGCACAATTATCCCGCACTGGCATATTGTCACGTGATCCGTTTCGACAACCTCCATTTTACCCTGAGCCATTTGGTATATTTACAAACCACCTGAGTTTCCCCGACAATGCCATTGGTGTTACTGAAAGCAGACAGGCCACTCGTCGCTCTTCCCGTCCAGAGAGCTACAGCAACTATGGTTCACGGGGGAAAAGATCGGCTGCAGACTATCAGGAAGTACGCAGGGACTTCCCAACAAAATTGCATTGAGCTAGAAAGAAAAAGATTTAAAAAGTCAAGCCCCGTTAAACCAAGACTTGGGTTTTCCCCCCCTTTCTTTCATAGTAGAAAAAAAAAGGCAGCTAATAAACTTCACTGACTGTGCGCCAACGAAATGGGAACAAAACCCCTTTCTATAATAAAGTGGGCCCCACAAAAAATTGTCAAAAAATTCAAAAAAACCCGTACCATCAACGCCCCACAAAGTAATTTTTTTGGGGGCAATTAACGCACAGAAAATTGCTGGCCAAGTAAAAAGCAATGCTAATCTAGGCTTTGATCCAAAGACTTAAAGTTCGCAGGATACGAACAATTGCCTTTTTCGAAGATAGAAAATAAAAGCGTTTGTAATAGGAACGTTGAGATTAAAATTACCACCAACAACCGGTCACATATGTAACACGCCTAACCACCAAACAGCAATCAATTACAAATATGGCACTTACCTTTCGCACAGCAGCATATTGAATGGTGACTCGAGTTTCGATGCTTTGATATCAAATGATGCAAATAGCAAAACTCAAACACGTCAAAACAAGCCGTTTAGGGTCTGTGAAACAAAGTTGCATTCAAAGGTAAACAACAAAAATAATAACCCAAAGGAAATTACATAACTTACAAAAACTTTAACAATATATTGACCGAGCGCACAATGGCTGATGAAGAAACGTAAAGGAGAAGCAATTCGAAGATACTTATTGAAATCGATGACGGGAAAGGCCCAACGGGGGACTGTCAAACAAAAGGTTAAAAGGGCCACGCATTTCAGTAAAGTGTTAAGCCAGACCAGGAATGCCAAAAACATACAGTTTTCACATCCGTTAGCCAAGGAAATATCGTCCAAAAACAGTCTACTAAGGGAGCTAATTCAGTACCACAATCTGGACACTTAATGCACAGCAAAGTCTACAGTCAATGTATCCACAATTCTATGACTTACAGGCCCAATTATTCCAGGACCCTGTGCTACAACAAGATCAAGTACAAACGCAACACCTGATGGAAAAATCTTTTGCAACAGATCCAGAATAAAGGAATACCGTCAACACAACAATTCCAGCAAGACATGTTAAGTTTGATGGCAAGTCAAAAACAATCAGAACCAACGCAAAATGTGCAAGAGAGGCACAACAGGTAAATCAACACGGTATTTTTAACACCAAAAATTCTAAATCTTTACAAGGTACACAACAAGTAAATGACCAACAATTCCAAAAGCATCCGCATCAAACGCAAACATCAAGGAACGGCAAACAATTGCCAAAAGGACCATCACTTCAACAAAGTCATCAAAGAATATCTGCATCACTTAAACAAAATACATTACCCCAAAATAAAACAGTAAATGCTCAACATCAACCAAATAGACAGAGATTGAATCAACAACCGTATCATACATTATCGACTAATAGTCAAATACTTCAGCAAGAACAGCAGACTTTTCAGAAGCAAATGTTGAATGCTCAAAACCACCAAAATCCTCGACCAGTACCTCGAAAAAATCCATCTAATCAACAAATGTTGAATAATCAAAACCAAGCAACACCAGGACAATTACCTTTAAATTATCAAATGCAACAAGAGATGTTGAGTATTCAAAATCAGCCAACACCCCGGCCATTGTCTCCTATTTATCAACAACAACAGCAAATGTTGAATAATCAAAATCAACCGACACCTGGACCATTGCCCCCAAATTATCAGCAGCAACAACAAATGTTGAATAATCAAAATCAACCGACACCTGGACCCTTATCCCCAAATTATCAGCAGCAACAACAAATGTTGAATAATCAAAATCAACCGACACCTGGACCATTATCTCACAATTATCAACAGCAACAACAACAACAACAATTGTTGAATAATCAAAACCAGCCAACACCCGGACCATTATCCCATAATTATCAGCAGCAACAACAAATGTTGAATAATCAAAATCAACCGACACCTGGACCATTATCTCACAATTATCAACAGCAACAACAACAACAATTGTTGAATAATCAAAACCAGCCAACACCCGGACCATTATCCCCAAATTATCAGCAGCGACAACAAATGTTGAATAATCAAAATCAACCGACACCTGGACCATTATCTCACAATTATCAACAACAGCAACAACAACAACAATTGTTGAATAATCAAAACCAGCCAACACCCGGACCATTATCCCCAAATTATCAGCAGCAACAACAAATGTTGAATAATCAAAATCAACCGATACCTGGACCCTTATCCCCAAATTATCAGCAGCAACAACAAATGTTGAATAATCAAAATCAACCGACACCTGGACCATTATCTCACAATTATCAACAGCAACAACAACAACAATTGTTGAATAATCAAAACCAACCAACCCCTGGACCATTTTCTCAAAATTACCAACAGCAACAACAATTGTTGAATAATCAAAATCAGCCAACCCCTGGACCATTTTCTCAAAATTACCAACAGCAACAACAATTGTTGAATAATCAAAATCAGCCAACCCCTGGACCATTATCTCAAAATTACCAACAGAAACAACAATTGTTGAACAATCAAAACCAACCAACACCTCGGCCATTATCTCAAAATTATCAACAGCAACAACAAATTTTGAGTAATCAAAATCAACCGACACCTGGACCATTATCTGCAAATTACCAACAGCAACAACAATTGTTTAATAATAAAAATCAGCCAACCCCTGGACCGTTATCTCAAAATTACCAACAACAACAACAAATGTTGAATAATCAAAATCAGCCAACCCCTGGACCATTTTCTCAAAATTACCAACAGCAACAACAATTGTTGAATAATCAAAATCAGCCAACCCCTGGACCATTTTCTCAAAATTACCAACAGCAACAACAATTGTTGAATAATCAAAATCAGCCAACCCCTGGACCATTATCTCAAAATTACCAACAGAAACAACAATTGTTGAATAATCAAAATCAGCCAACCCCTGGACCATTATCTCAAAATTACCAACAGAAACAACAATTGTTGAACAATCAAAACCAACCAACACCTCGGCCATTATCTCAAAATTATCAACAGCAACAACAAATTTTGAGTAATCAAAAAATCAACCGACACCTGGACCATTATCTGCAAATTACCAACAGCAACAACAATTGTTTAATAATCAAAACCAGCCAATACCCGGACCATTATCTCCAAATTATCAACAACAACAACAACAAATGTTAAACAATCAAAATCAACCAACACCTAGACCATTATCTCCAAATTATCAACAACAACAAATGTTGAATAATCAAAATCAACCGACACCTGGACCATTATCTCTTAATTATCAACAACAACAACAATTGTTAAATAATCAAAATCTGCCTACCCCTGGACCATTTCCCCCAAATTATCAACAGAAACAACAAATTTTGAGTAATCAAAATCAACCGACACCTGGACCATTATCTGCAAACTATCAGCAACAACAACAACAAATGTTAAACAATCAAAATCAACCAACACCTAGACCATTATCTTCAAATTATCAACAGCAACAACAACTGTTGAATAATCAGAACCAAGCAACGCACATGAATCGACCGAAATTACAGCAACAATTTCTACAGAATAAACAACATCACCAACAACAACTAAACCCTACACAAGGGCGAAACTCACAATCTAATAAATCGCAACTGTCGCCATCAAAACAAAATCAAAATCCAAACACAAAACACACACAACAACGCACGAATCAGAAATCAATGTTGTCTCAATCACAAACTATTCTATCTCAGCAAAATATGCAACAACCGCATCGACAAACGTTTAGCGCCCACACAGTACAGACACCTCTACCACAAATACCAACTTTAGCATCCGCATCAAAACCAGTAAAGTCCAATGCTGTTCGAGGAATACCTTTATCAATTGATGGACCTGGGTTATCAGCTTTTAACCATGTCCCATCTACAAAAAGACAACCACAGGCAAAGGGTACATTGAAAAAGACGCCAACTCCCTTCCCGTCTAGAAAAAGTGAACAGTCGAAAAACGGACAAAGACGAAGAATTCCACATGAACGATACATAATGTACAGATCAACTACCACATCATCTCCAAGGCATTCTGAGAGAAGGAGACAAAGAAATCATGGCAAACGTATTTCTCGCCCTTCAAAAGAAGTAACAACTGTTCCTTCAACAAATAATTTCCCTAAACGTCCCCTGAAGCCCATGCGTTTGTGGAACTCATCTCCTAATACTTCTGCTGGAAATCCGGTATGGAGACAACCGCTGGAGCAGATACAGAGAAACACAATCTTCTCATCCAACACCAATTGTTTCAAGTCCACCAAATACACCGTCAGCACGAGGATCTGTCAACGGTGGGAGCTATATTAAGAATTGGTTTCATCCTAGGAAATTTGGTAACTCTCACGGCAATCCACATGAACCTGTACAAACAAGTTATTCCGAAACGGGTAACAGTATTAAGTCACAAACCAAAAATAACAAACAGACGGGTTCAGTCGGAAGGCAACGTACACGATCCGAACAAATAATATCTCAACAAACCAGGAACGGGCGTCGGCCTGGTATTAGATTATTGTCAAAAGACTCACAACAGTCTAAAGATCTACTAAAAGAAAGAAACAACCATACATGAATAATGGTCATTACAGTTTTAAAACTACAGCCAAACCTTCAGTAACGCCTACTCCATCTCTGTCCTCCCAGAAATCTATGGGATCAGCTGCAAATTTGCATAATAATGCATGGAAACAAGCCGAATTCTGCTACAACAGTACCGCCAATTTATTCTACAGGCAATACTTGGAACCAGTAATCCTGAAAAAGAACGACTATTTTCAGCAACAGCAGACGCTTTCAAACTTGCCCCAGGAACTGTGAATTTGAGTTTTAAAACGCACATCTAAATAAGAGTAATGTCCAAAATAACGTTTCAAATCAGTCGACTGTAAGCGATGTGAAGAAAAATAAAACAATTTCAATAACGCAACATATAAAAAACGTCTAAACAATGCATCTCAAGGAAGACATAACCATGCGCATGCGCCAATCAACTTTAATGTTTTCTTAGAAGTAAAACCTACACCAAAGCCACAACAGAATTCGTCACAAGCAGCTGAAATGTTGAAATTACTAGAAGCTCTACAGATCCTTAGAGGAACAATGAGTCCCCCGACAACGATGCATCCACCAGTGAAGTTTGTCTTTCAAATGGAACCAAATGTGCAACAACCAGCTAAGTGTAAGTATTTTAGCATAGTATAATAATTACGCTAAACGAAATTTAGCATTAATTTTCAGAATAGTAAATCTCATTGATTTTTAAAAAAATCATATCCTACAATTGTCGCTGCACCACCTACTCTCCAGCGCATCGGTCGAATGTTTCTCTTTTGTACACTAAGAGTGTACACTACCCTTCGCTAGGTAAGGTGACGGAGTAAAAACGATGAGATTGCCGAAAAGTATCAATCAAACCTGTGTTTACAAAGACAAATATTTGGGTCAGAGTCCATTGATAATGATTCTGATGTTTTACTTCTTTTTCACGTTTTCTTTCATCTTGTATACATTTCTCGCCATATGATGAACATGTATTATATCTATTTTGTAGATTGTTTCCTTCACAAAAAAGTAAATATATCTGAAAAAATAATCCCTTGGAAGCATTAAAAACAGCAAAATTACATGACAATTGCAGAATCGGTTTGATTTGAGTCTGTATATAAGTTATAGATAGAAAAAAATTGGTATCTCTTTGATAGGAAATCAACTTTCTATTGCAAAATAGATATCATATTTGTATTAATGAAAACGTGATGTGAAATGATAAAAAGCCATAGAATTCTTTTCACAAACTTACGTTAACTAAAACACACTTTCTTGAAAGTCATATCAATTTAATGCTTTACTTCTTTTCAGTGATGTGCAAATGCTTTAAGAAATCAGACGGTTGTCCAGCGGAATTGAAAGAAGAACATCTAATGGATATGTGCTACGATAACGACACTATTCCTTGTTGTGATGATGGATAGTTATACATAAAGTCGTCGGTATAATAACAGTTCCCTTATCAAAAAAGTAAAAGAAAAATATTGCTGGAAACAGAAAACTATCCTATCTCGTACGCATTTTGGACATTTTGAAATTCAATTTTCTTTTTAAATCATTAAGTGTTTAGTAAAATAATTATAGTGTGAAACCTTTGTTGTTGACTTGCTTCAGTCAGTCAAGTTAGTAAAATAATGAGTATGATGATTCTGGAAATCACCGACTATTTGGTTTCACAGCTGACCAGGAATGCCTCGGATTATCGAAAAATAAAAGTATCACAAACTTATGTGTGGTAAAATTATGATATCAGTCATTTCTTTGACCTTAATAAACATGTAGAAAACAAAGAAAGATTTTATATTTATTATTATTTGAGAGTAAATAATAAGAAAATGTGTTTATTTAACCGCCATCATTAAACTTATAAACAAATACTTGTACCTTATTTAGCACAATACCCTGGAACCCGGTAACTTATTATTTAGGTATATATTGATCAGTACTAGTTAGTTCAAGAAAGCGGTCTCAAAACAGATCAATATATTAAGATTTTAGTAGCCTGGAACCCCGTTGTATCGATCTATTAACCCATAAATCACAACTGCAGTTAAAAACATTAAATTTCCCTGAATCTTTATTTTGTATCATTTATTTTGATTCTTTTGTCAAAAATATTACATGGCAAACATCATTGATATATAGTTTTTAGCTTTGGAATATACGATTATTTACAGATATGTCAAACAGGTTGAAGAATTAGGTCACGCCATTATATCGATGCATTGTGAGAATCGCTCAGTTAGTCAAAGTTTTGGAAGTCTGACCCATCTTTAAGCTACATTTTTCAGTCAATTAGAATCAAAGATGTCTGTTTGAAATGTCAGCATAAATTTAGGCACTTTCAACAGACAGTAAATGTGTTTTTAATAAGAACACAATATTTATAAGTCCATTTATTATCTACAAAGTCTGACGGTACTGGAAACCTGTTTTTGACCGTTTTTACGGCACAAAACAAATGCGAAAGATTTTCGTGACACTTTTGTAAATGTTAGCAATCAGTAGCTACTGCATTTTGCAAAAAAATCGAAAGATTTGTAAATAGATTGATACAATGAATAGCACGATACAATGGGGTTCCACTATACTGCTGGTTAGTTACCGGAAGCGGACTCAAAAGTTTTAAATATATTTAAGATTTATCAGTACTGGTTAGTTCCCGGAAGCGAATCCAAAAGTTAACAATATATTAAATATTTATATAAATATTTATCAGTTCTGGTTACTTACAAAAAACGTGTTCAAACATTATCAATATATCAAAGATTGATTAGTTCTGGTTAGTTTCAGGTAGCGCACTGGAAAGTTTTTTAACTCAACATTCCGATTTTTTTTCGGATATATTATAACATTGAATACATAATATCAAGCATATTATTTATGTTTTGCTTCATTTTAAGTTCGATTTTAATTTGTTTTTATTGACTCATAAGGTCACTTAAAATATCCTCACATATTTCAAGTGTCGATAGGTCAGTAAAAACTTTAAAGTGACATTATGCTCCTATTTTCATTGTCAAGTTGAGTTGAATTGACTTTATATTTCAAAAGATTGACTGTTTAAATGATGTTTGACCAACACATTATATTGGAAAATGTTTAGGGTAAAATTTAAAATTCAATTTTGACTCTCACTTGTTCACTCACTATATACCTTAAGATGGGCATAATGTCACTTTAAGTGATCGCACCCAAGGATTTTTTTCAAACTTAGAAACAGATCAGGCTAGATGTTATGCTTACACTAATGTCATAACGTCTTTCCTTCATTTACAATACATGTCATATTACACATAAAACTAGCGAATTTCCGGAAAAAAATACGTATGAACTCTGTTTGACCAATTGACCAATACAGGAGGGAAATGCCTGTTGTTTTTTATATATAAATAAAAAAAACAACAATTATAAGTTACGCTTAGTCAGCTATTTTTACAATCATACGCTATTTCAGCGCAATATTCAAAATACGAGCGTATACACTCATTCTCACTTAAGTACGACATTCCATGTCTTCAATGTTCTATGAAAATTTGTGGAGATATTTAAGCCCGAACATTCTTGTAAAATGTTTTAACAATTGGAACTGCA